CAGCCTACACATCAATGTGTTAGAACTGAGAGCAGTCCGCGCAAGGTGTTCGAGTGCTTCGGTGTTGGTGCAGGGCCGTGTGGTTCGTCTAGAAATGGACAATCAAGCGGCCATGTCTTACATTCTCAAGCAAAGGCGGCACAGTGTCTCCGTCGCTCCTTCAGGGGCGTGGCAGTTTCTACTGTAGTGCGATCAGTTCAACATTAGGGTTTTGCCTGTTTATCTCCGGGGGTAGACAGCGTCCGTGCAGATGCTCTCTCACGGCGTATACTAGCCCCTGCAGTGGATGCTTTCGACGGGGAGATATTCGGGATTATCTCCCAGTTGTTGGTCGTTCCAGGTGGATCTGTTTGCGTCTGGGGTGGCGAACCAGATTCCTGTGTTTTGCTCCAGTTCGGATCCGGAGTGCGTTAGCCAACGGCGCCTTTCAGCTAGATTGGGCCGGACAGGGTACTGTGGGCGTTCCCCGATACCACTGATTTCCAGGGTCCTGTAAGCAGCTGACCGCACAACCAGCTCGGCTACTTGTGCTTCTGGCACCCTTTGGTCGGCACAAAGCTGGTTTCGGTAATTCTCAGGTTTCTGGCTCAGCCTCCTGTTCTATTACCTTTTCGACCGGACCTCCTATCCCAGAGCGGGCGCCCACCCGAATCCCAGGATTCAGTGGGTGGCTTAGCTGCTATCGGGGATGCGCCTCCATCGCGGCGGAATTCCTGCACCAGTTGCAGACACAATTCTGGCCAGCGGAGGATTCGACAAACGTTCAATATGAGGATAGATGGGCCTGTTATTCGCGCTGGTGTGTCAACAGGGGGATTCTTGATCCCTTTTCTACAGATTTAGTCTGTGTGTTAGAATTCCTCCAGTCTCGGTTGGAAGCCGGTCTAGCGGCTTCCACTGTTCGGGGATATTCTACGGCTATTTCTGCGTTTCATATTCCTGTTGACGGTGCTCTCTTGGGGCAGCACCCTCTTGTACAGCGCTTTTTAGTGGAAGACGGCGTTTCTTGTGGCGGTGACTTCTGGCAGGCGGGTTGGCGATATTCATGCAATGTCGGCCGATCCCGCGCTTACTGTTTTTCACAAAGACAGAGTTAGCATTCGGCTGCCTGAGACTTACCGTCCTAAGAAGGATAGTCCCTTCCATGTGACGGCGCCTATTGAGCTCCCAGCTTTCACTCAGCCTTCCCTGTCCGGTACCTCTCTACAACGTGCTCACGTCTTAGATGTCCGTAAGACACTTCAGGCTTATATCAAACGAACAAGGGGTACCCGTAAGGGTAACCAATTGTTTTGTTGTTATGGCGGGGTTCAGGCTGGTCTTCCGGCGATCGAGCAGACCATTTCTCGGTGGCTTGTCTCTGCCATACATATGAGTTATACTCAAACAGGGCGTATCCCGCCTGTTGGGTTGAAAGCTCATTCGGTTAGGGCAGTAGCTACATCGACAGCTTACGCTGCAGCCCTGCCCATTGAGGAGATCTGCTCCGCGGCTATTTGGAGCCGTCCGAGTACGTTCATCCGTCATTACCAACTTGACAGACTCTCCAGTGAGCGTGCTCGGTTCGGTCAGTCAGTTCTCTCCAGTGGGCATGGTTCCACCTCTCTAGCCGATTGAGCTTTCGAGGTTTTTTATTGTGTGAACCATTATCTGCCTATTTTTAACACTGGTGTTGGGTTTTACAAATCTTGTTACATTTTCCCTTGGTGATGGGTTTTATGTGGTGCTGGTTTTTTATTCCCATGTCTCTTGCTTTCTAACCGAGAAGCTCTAGACTAAACTGCCCTTGGAAACTTTGCTGTTCATATTCCGGCATTTCGTTTCTGGGTTTATTGCGGGACCCTTATCTTCACTTCCGAGTAGATTACGGGAAGGAGGGAGGGTGTGTCTCGTTCGTTGCATTAGCGAGGTTTCGCTGGACAAATTTGCATACGTTTAACCCTGACCCTGGCTCATGCCCCCGCCTGATTGGCTTTGGTGGACACGTGACCGGGTAAGTGTGCCTTTTCTGCTATAATTAGCTTGGGAAATTCCACTTCTTGTCGGGGTGTTTAAGCAGACAGAATGCCGCTCCTGAGATCCGTCTTTAGGAGTCTGTCTTATGCTTATAAGTACCCCAAGGAGGAATATATAAAAAAGAATCGAACTAACCTGTAGAGGTTTCAGATTCTTTGAATATATTCCTCCTTGAGAATACTACCACCTCCCTCCGCATTCTGTCTGACTTCGTTCAGCATGGAAAGTGAGGTACGAGGTTACGGTCTAGAGTTACCTGCTCTTGGCTGTAGGGGGCCGGAAGGCCCTGTAAGGGTGGTCTCACAAGACAAAACGTAGTTTTTGTTTTGTAAATATTTTATTCAAATATTGTTACAACTGTCGTAGGGAATTTAAATGGACATTTAAATGCTTATAAGTACCCCAAGGAGGAATATATTCAAAGAATCTGAAACCTTCACAGGTTAGTTCGAATTTCAAGTTTGGTTGGAGTTATTGAAACTCCAGAAATCCCATCTGCAAGTTTCCATGATACAGAGAAGTGCTCCGCAGTTTGTACCATCTCTTCCGGAACTGTGGCCATCTGGTGTTTGTGGCCATTCATCCTGAGCTAGAGGTAGCCGGTTCTCTCATGGCACCTCTTCCCGACGTCCTCCCAAGTCCGACACTGGGGTTGGGAGTGGGTCCCCAAGTAGTGACTCGTCAAAACATGGGCACAACTTGGATCTCCCGCCTCCAGCCCTCCCCATTTACGACTCTGCAGTGTATGGGAGATTAGGGAGGTTTGCTCCCAATTGGGCCATCCTAGACGATCCTTTTGTGACCAACCTCCTCGCCAAAGGCTATCAACCTCCAGTCATCGGACGCCCGCCTCTGACAGTGCATCCGGTACATCGCAGTTACCCAGCGGACCAGATCCATTTTCTTCACTCCACCATAGTTACGCTCATAGCAAAATGTGCAGTCCAGTCTCTCGGTCCCGCGCCCAGCACTCCGGGGTTCTATTCCCCCATCTTTCTGGTTCCCAAGAAAAACTCCTAAAAACAAGACTCATTTTCAACATGCCATTCTCCAGCGCCTGCCTCACTTCAGGATGGTATCGATCGTCCTTCTTGCTGAAGAAAGGAGATTTTCTTGTCAGCCGACGCCGAAGACCCGGGTTTGAATCCCCACATGTGTACAATGTGTGAAGCCCATTGCTAAAAGCGGCGTAAAACCAAACTCAGTCAGTCAGTCAGTCTTGTCAGCCGAGACCTTCAAGATGCTTATCTTCATGTGACCATTCATCTGGATTGGCGGAAATTCCTCCGGTTCATGTTCCAAGGGATCTATTATCAATGGACCTTCCTGCCATTTGGAATTTCCACGGCCCCGTGGCTGTTTACCAGGATCACCAAGCCGATCACCAGGTTTCTTCATCTCCACGGGGTCGTGTTAGAAAGTTACATAGACGACTGCACCCAGTCGTTCTTCTACGTCAGTTGGACTTCGGTATGAAGCTTCTCCAGCAGCTGGGTTGGCTGTAAAACTCTGCGAGGTCGGAACTAACACCGACCCAGACCCTTCAATTCATCGGGGCAACTTTCGACACGCATTGAGGCCTGATTTTCTTTCCACAAGACAGATGGCTGAAAATTCTTCGTCTAGTTCCGTTAGCACTGTCGCAGGCCAGGACCTTACGACAGTGGCGGGAACTTTTGGCCCTCTTGACATCGGCAAAGGCATTGACACGGCGGAAACGATTGCAACTACGTCTGTTGCCACACTTCCTGCTGCCGTATCTCGTCCCAGAGTATCTCAAGGAGTTGATTCGTCTTCCCGAACCCTTATGTCCTCTTCTTCAGTGGTGGCTTGTAGAACCGAACGTTTGTGCCGGAGTTTGTTTGATGCCGTTCATTCCAGTGCACCACTTGTTCGTCGACGCGTCGCTTAAAGGTTGGGGGCTCACTTTCTTAATCTTCAGACGGCTGGGCTGTGGTCGTCCGCAGAACGGGACTTTCACATCAACGAACTCGAGTTCTTGGAGGTTCTTCCCGCCATTCGGCATTTGGCGACGGACCTTCAGGGGTCTGATTCAGACAGACAACTCCAGAAGGGGTATTGAGAGTATGCCGGATTAGAGGGCTGCCAATTTAGAGGGCTTCCACTGTACTTCACTTAGTTTTATACTATTTGCTTATGGGTTAGAACTACTTCACTTTGTTTGATACTAAGACACGGAGATACTACTGTCTCAGTGATTGGAGGAATCTGGAGCACGATTCTGTATCACGATGCTGAAGGGTTCGACATTTCACGTTTCCTGACCTCTACTTTTCAAAGCAATGACGTCAGTGAAGTGTGTTGTAGATTTCGTAGAGTTCTGACTCCAAAGTTGCCAGGCTCATCCTTTGACTAAGCTTATGTAAAGGAGTGAGGGTCAATTTGATGTTGACTGGAACTGAACGTTAAAACCGCGAGTTTTCCGAGTGGTGCTTCTCTTTCACCCACCCCTGGTCGGTGTCTGTTCGGGGGGGTCTTCTCGAAGCAGGGGCTATCCCGATTATTGTCTATGACTTTACCAACATAGGGTATCTGCGTCCCGCCATCTGACACTGGGATAAGTGCATACCGTGAGATAGCATAAGTTTAAAAATTTGAAAATTTAAATATAAATTGTATATTTATTTACTTATCCTATCTCACGCAACGGATTCCCGCCCATCCTCCCCGCTATGAAGATTCTCCAAGATTGATATTATCCAGTGGCTCCAAGAAGAATGATGATTCAGAGATAGTCACGTGGGTAGCTAGTGGAGCATGCCGCATGCTTTGCATGACAACTAGGAAGCTGTCTTATAATGAGGGTAGCATGGAGTGCTTGGGCAGATGGACAAGAGAGGCCTAGGGAGAAAAAGTTTACTTCATTCCACTCAGTGTCGAATCAAGAGAGAGAAGTGCATACCGTGAGATAGGATAAGTATATAAATATACAATTTATATTAAAAAAATTCAATTTGTTTCAGCAGAGGAAGCTCCTAGCCCACCAAAACCTAAAGTAAGATATGCCACAGTGTCATGAGTCTCTTCCAAACATGGCCTACAATGCAATGTATCCAAAGCAATAATTCACCTCTTTGAAAAAGTTGAAGTTAGCCTTTTGTTACTGATGCTTGCTGTAAGAGGCAACTAATGAAATCAGGCTTGCAGACTTGGTCTAGGCATGGCATCATAGCCCAACTGCACATATTGACACTCATGGTGTCAATCAGTAGATTGTCTGGTCCAGGCAGGATTAATTACAGGACACTGACAGAGATAGAATATTGTTGTCTTTGTTTCTTTGTCAAGTGAGTGAGTGAGTTTAGTTCAACGCCGCACTCAGCAATATTCCAGCTATATGGTGTGGTCTGTAAATAATCGAGTCTGGACCAGACAATTCAGTGATCAACAGCACAAGCATCGATCTGCGCAATGGAGAACCGATGACATGTGTCAACCAAGTCAGCGAGTCTGACCACCCGGACCTTCACAGGTGCAACAAGTTTGACTTTAAATTTGTTGGTAGTGCTATTTTCCGGAACATAACATAAAAACCTTTCAATAATCTCCTTCCACTTTGCAATATAGTCACTGACTCGGTTGACACATATCATTGTATCCCAATTGTGTAGATCGATGCTCATGCTCATCACTGGATTATCTCGTCCAGATTCTATTATTTACAAACAGCTAGAATACTGCTGAGTGTGGCATAAAACTAAACGCACTCGCTCACTGCCACACTCACACCATGCCAAAACATTTGACATAGTCGTAACTAATAGACATATTCATGAAGAGTACGGGATCGGGTGGTCAGGTTCGCTGACTTTGTTAACACATGTCATTGGTTCCCAATTGCACAGATCGATGCTCATGCTGTTGATCACTGGATTGTCTGGTCCAGACTTGATTATTTACAGACCGCCGCCATATAGCTGGAATATTGCTGAGTGCAGCGTAAAACTAAACTCACTCACTCACTCACTCACTCACTCACTGACTCACTCACTCACTGATGAAGAGTATTTTGCCATTGCGGGGGACATTGATGACTTCCTCTTCTTGTTTTGACATTGCTTTGGTGTTTTCAGGGGTTTCCACGAGCACTGTTTTCTCCTGATCAGGGCAGAACAGATTCAGATGAGTTGGTGAAGGAGCTCAATGCTACAATGGAGGAGGAAGGTCTCTCTGGCATCTCTCCAGGTCCTCGATCTTCCTTAATGGTGCAAACTGACCGAGGGAAGAACTTGATTAAGGAGCTATTCCTACGCTCCACTGGGCAGAACCAGGAGGTGCACCAGGGTGGATCTCCCCGAGCAGGACAACCTCACTCCCAGACTGTGCAGTCAACTGCTTCACCTAGAGCCAGCTGTAAGAGGAGGAATTTCAGTAATGTTGCTGTGAAAAGTAATATTGCATCACCTCTAGCTAAAGATGGTAAATCTCCAGTTTCCAAAAATCCTGGACGTAAGACTGTGATTGACATTGAAAATGAAGATGTTCAGTTGAAAATAAACATTTTGCAAATGGCAGCCAGTTTTAAAGGTGATATATCTACCCTTCCCACTGATGATGTGTTTGATAAACAAGTGGTTAGTGATACCGAGGTTGATGTTGTGAATCATTTGACAAACAGCAACCAATTGTATCGAGGGAGAGGAGATGAGGGCAATTACACACCTTCTTCTGAACAAAGGACCAACTCCTCCATGTTAAACAGACGAGTGAGGAATTCTCAAGAGCGATTAAAACAGAATAAACGCCTGCCATCTGACCAAAATAGCAGTTTGGTAACGCAGTCAGTTGTGCATGAAGCACTGTCCATTTTCATGGACAGTCCCTCCAGTGCTGAGATCCGACGTCGCAGTGCTCCACGGAAGGGAAAGAAACGGAAGTCCACAGAAACCTGTCTACCTGAGGGTGATGTGGATGGTGCCATGTTCTCTACTCCTTCTCCACATGGAAGTCAGGCCATCAAACCTCACTCTATATTGTCCTCCTCCAAGAAAAGAAAGCATGGCTCTGGCAGGAAGAAAGTGACGTTTGCTGAGAACTTGTGTGAAGAGGAGGGAGTTGGAGCCAGTAAGAAGCTGAACTATGACCAGTGGACGAACACAAATACCAATAGTGTCTGTTCCTCTGTTCCTGAAACCGCCATTGAGCTTACATGCAAGGACAGTTTGATGTTGAAAGAACCCGATCTATCAGACTCTGTTAAGGCTGATGATAAAACCTGTGCTGAGTTTCAGCCAGAGGATAATAAGAGTGTCCAAGGCAATTGTGCCAGTCCACATGTTGATGGATATGATAAAAGACTGAAGGAGAAAGCTACCCAGTTTGTTCAAGACGAGTGTATTAGTCTACATGCAGATGACGATAGTAAAATATTGAAGGAGGAAGGTACCAAGCCTGTTCAAGATGAGTGTGTCAGTCTACATGCAGATAGCAATAGTGGAACACAGAGAGAGGAAAATAACAAGCTTGTTCAAGAAAAGCATATCAGTCCACATCCTGATGACAATTGTGGAAAAATAAAGGAGAAAGGTATCGGACCTGTTAAAGACAAGTGGATCAGTCCACATGCTGCAGAGCCATCAGACGGAGAACAGTCACTCTTTGAGTCACAGCCAGATGAACAGTTTCAGTCAGAGATATGTCAATCAAATATTGGCAATAATATCCAACCAGACATCTCTTGTAATGGTTTACTTAAGGAAAATAGTATTGATGCATCATGTAAGGAACATTCTGACCAGCTCACACGTCAGAATTGTGATTTTCTGTCCATTCCTAATGTTACCAAAGTACTGTCAACAGAGACCTGAGCAATCCCAAGTACAAGGTGCAGCTGATTCACCAACTGAAAATATAAACAGCATATCTCTATCAAAACCCAATGCAGCTGTTTGTGAGAGTTCTGTATCCACGCCAGTCCGTCCTCATCCAATTGTGCATGATGAAATGTTTTCCCAGATTTCTCCGTCCAGTTTGACTGAGATGTGTCTTGTGGCCAGTTCTGATCAGTCTAAACTCAACAATGTTGTTAATGCTCAAGAACCATTCTGCTCCACAGAAGCACACAGAGTTGATGCTCAAAAAACAATCAGTGATGTAATAACAAACTCTGCTGCTCTGTACCAACATTCCATGGAACATGTTGATAAGCTTGTAACAAGAGCCAGTTCAGCTCAGACCTCTCTACCTCAAGTTATGCCCAGAGTCACTACCTCTTCTGATGACAGTTGTGTTAAATGCCCAGATAAGGAGGCTGTATCAGTGCCAACAGAGAATGAAAGGAGTTCCTTATCACATCTACCTGCCACAAACCTCCAGACCTCATCAACAGACATCATATCAAGCAAAAAAGAAGCTCTGAAATCAGACAGCCTTTCATTTACTTCAGATAGATCTTCTCTTGCATGTACGGGACACACAGATGTTACTGAGCCATATGTCCAGAACCCTTTCACCAGGAAACCTAAGGCTAAGCGGTTCTTCTACCCAACCTCATCCCAGATAAAGGCTGTCTGTCCCAAGACTGTGTTTAGTTTCAAAGGTTGTGATGTTGATGCCAAAGCCTCTGCTGCAGTCAGAGAAGCAGAACCTGTTGCCAGTGCTGTTTCCTTTCCTAATGTAGATAATACATCAGTTGTTAATGTTGTTGGACAAAACATGGAATATGAAGCTGGTGTTGGTGTAGATGCTAGCAAGGATGGTGCTACTGATGTGAAGGAAGCTGGTACACTACCTGATGTTTTGCAGACAGTTAGGGACATAGGGGCTGGCAGGAACACTGTGACAGACCCTCCACCACTGACAGACAAGAAAGGAACCATGACCAAACAGCAGGACTTTGGTAGGTATTTAGAATCTCTCATTCTTGATCTTACGAGGGATTAAGGCTGTTATGTGTGATAGTTAGAAATAAACCTAATAAAGGTCCTTTGAGCATTTCTTTTGGAGAAAGTTAGGATTTAACATCATAAGTATCAGTATCATAAGTAGGAGCACATGAATATTATCTTTCTCATGCTTGGTCATTAATTACTATTGAGGTTTGCATTCTCAGACTTGGTATGCCTGAGGTTTGTGTACTCTGATGAAAGTTGCTTTGTATACTTCTTATCTTCCACAGGTTTCACCAAGTTCTCGGAGATGTTTGATGAGAGTCTCATTGACTGGGAAGACTGGGACTGTGCCTCCCAGACTGCTGATCTTCCTGATGGAGAACCGACCTCCAAGTCTGCTGTACTTTCTCATGGTTGTCAAGACATGACCTCTGAAACTGCTGTACCTGCTGTTGGTGTTGGAGAGAGAGAACAAACTCTAAGAATACCCCATCTGCTCATGTTGGTGGAGAAATCACCTCCAAGCTTGCTGTATCTGCTGATGTTGGTGGAGAAACGACCTCCAAGTCTTCTGTATCTGCTGATGTTGGTGGAGAAACGACCTCCAAGACTGCCCCACCTGTTGATGTTGGTGGAGAGACAAACTCTAAGACTGCCCCACCTCCTGATGTTGGTGAAGCAATGACCTCCAAGCCTTCTGTATCTGCGGATGTTGGTGGAGAAACGACCTCCAAGCCTTCTGTATCTGCGGATGTTGGTGGAGAAATGACCTCCAAGCCTTCTTTATCTGCGGATGTTGGTAGAGAAATGACCTCCAAACCTTCTGTATCTGCTGATGTTGGTGGAGAAACGACATCCAAGCCTTCTTTATCTGCTGATGTTGGTGGAGAAACGACATCCAAGCCTTCTTTATCTGCTGATGTTGGTGGAGAAATGACCTCCAAGACTGCCCCACCTGTTGATGTTGGTGGAGAGACAAACACTAAGACTGCCCCACCTCCTGATGTTGGTGAAGAAATGACCTCCAAGCCTTCTGTATCTGCTGATGTTGGTGCAGAAATGACCTCCAAGCCTGCTGTATCAGCTGATGTTGGTGGAGAAATGACATCTAAGACAGCTGTATCTCCTGATTCTGTAGAACATATGACCTCCAAGACTGATGTACCAGCTGAAGGTGGTGGAGAAACAACCTTTCAAGCTGTTGTACTGACTGATGTTGGTGGACATACAACCTTGCAACAAGCTGTACAAGATGATAATGGAGATACAACCTCCCGGACTGGTGTACTGGCTGATGGTGGTGGTCAGAGCCCATCTTCTTCATGTACTCATGACATTGCTGGACATGGAGCAGAAGAGATAGGAATTGTTGTAAAGATAGGTCTTGTGTGAAACCAGGCAATGATATGTTGTGTAAAAACGTTCCTTTTGTGGATGGTAAAGATGTGAAGACACATGAGAATGAGGCACTAAATCAATCTGCTGTGGCAGTATCTGGTGCAGTGAAACAGAATGCTTCAGTAGTGAAAGATGATGGTCAAGAGCAGGTCAAGGCATGCAGTGATGTCGCTAATTGTTCCCACTGGGTGCCCTCTTCCCAATATGTCCACAACTTGGTGAAGGATGTCCAGGAGGAACTCTTTAGTGACATTGAGTTCTCCCAAGTAGATGTAGCAGCAAGTGAGACCACAGATGTCAGAACTGAACCTGAGCAAGAATCATGCAGGGAAGGACGTGATGATTCTCTTCATTCTGTCACAGGAGACAAAAAGGTGTCAAATTTGCTTTCAGAGAAGGTGTTATCAGTTTCTGTTCAAAGTGCAGGAGAACAATGTGTTGAATCGGAAGCATCAGTCAGTGGAAGTATCATGGCCTCTGCCACGGGGCATCAAGGAAAGGATGTATTCAAGAAGCCTGATGTTCCAGGGAAAGCTAGCAATCAGAAGGCTCTGGTGTTCAGTGACTCGGTCACAGATGCAATATTGAGTGATATGGACCTTTCTGAAACATGTGTCAGAGACAAAGGGATGCAGCTTGACAGTTCAGCTCAAGGATGCCGTGACATGTCCTCATCTGATTCCAGTGACTTTGAATCTTGCAAGAGTGAAAGTGATGTTAAGAATGAGAAAAAGTTTAATGTAAACCAAACAAATTGTGCAGCTGACTCATCTTTGAGTGACTCCGATACTGATCTGTATGTGACATCCACAGAAGAAATAAAGGAAATGTCTTCTGAAGTCAAACATCAAACTCCCAGAACCAGAATCAGCACAAGGTCAAGGACATCCAGAAAAGACTCTGTTCTTCTTAGCAAATCACTGATGATAGGTGATTCTGACTCTGATGTCAGTTGTGAGAGAATTGTTCACAAAAATAGGAAAGAGTATCACTTCGAGATGTTTCCCAAGAAAGAACCAAAATTAGTGAATGAATCTGACCCAGATATATTATGGAGTGGTCTTGAATCTCATGGAAGGGATATTACCCAAGGTGGTCCAACAGATGGGACAGACTGTCACAAGGATATCAAGAATATAGAGTTTGTGTCAGATGCAGTAGAATTTAGTTTGAAGAGGGATCAAACAGACACAACCAAAATGGGAAATGAGTCATTAACCCTTGAAGAAGCAAAGTCACCTGCTTCTGTAACTATGAGAAAGAAGAGGACAAGCAGAAGCCAGACAGATTAAACAGAGCTGGAAGTATTTCAGGATCAGAGTCAGTGTGGAGTGATCTTGAACAGGGTGAAGCAGAGATTCTTGAGGAGGAAACAGTTGGTGTGTCTTTCGTGACAGAAAGAGCTGAAGCTGTTACAGTGTCCTCAGCATCTCATCAGTTTGTGGCAGTTGATGAGGAGGTGCAGATCAAAACAGTCCTCAAAGATGAAAGACCAGAGACAGGAGAAGTAAGACCTAGTGCAGAATCTCAAGGCTCTGTGATCTCTCTGAGTCAGGGTAAATCATTAACCAGAGGAAGTAATTTGCCTCTGATGAATATTGATTCTGAACAATCTACATTCAGGGATTGGGACATTAACAACCAGGAAAGTGCCAGACCACCGATTGATAGCCTTGACAGTCCTCAGATCCATTCAGAAGATGCTGGTGTCGAGTTGCCTGAAACAGTGAAGACATTGTTAGATACATCTAACTCTAACTTCAGAACAGATAAAGGTCATCAGTTTATACAGGAACAGAAATTGCTGCAGAAAGCCACTGCTTTGCTTGAATCTGAGGCTAATATGTCTCGAGACATACATAGATCTTCCCTTACATGTTCTAAAACTGGTACGTCCAAAACTGGCTTTTCTACAGCAAGTGGCAAGAAGTTCAGCTTTGATCCAAAATCTCTTCAGAAAGCCACTGCATTGCTTGAAACAGATGTCACTGTCTCTAAAGTGAAGCATAAAACAGAAGACATTCACAACCTTTCAGAAAATGTCAGTTCAAAAGGCATGAAACATACAGTGGCTGGCTTTTCAACAGCAAGTGGTAAGAAGTTCAGCTTTGATCCAAAAACTCTTCAGAAAGCATCTGAATTGCTTGAAACTCATGTTATGTCTGAAGGACCAAATATTTCAAAACCTTTCAGTAAGTCTGATGAAAATGTTAATTCCCCAAATATTTCCCAAACTGTTGTCTCAGGTTTTTCAACAGCAAGTGGCAAGAAGTTTAACTTTGATCCAAAATCTCTTCAGAAAGCCACAGCATTGCTGGAAACTGATGTTGATATGCCTGAAGTTGTGGACACTAATCAAGGAAGGTGATTTCAGGACGGGGCACATGTAAGAGCAACTCTCATTCCAGACGACACAAGACACACATTGACGTAGCAGATGTGACAGCGAGCTGTATTGCAGACGCCAAAAGTAATCTTCCATCATTTGCTACTGCCAGTGGTAAAGATCTGTTTCTGAATAAAGATGCTCTTGTGAAAGCTCAGACCCTAATGGCAATGGAAGAAGGCCTAGGAACTGATGTCAACACACCAAAGGACCAAAAGTTTAAGAGAATTCCAGATCAGAGTACTTCCAAGGCTGCTTCAAACACTGTCCCATTTGGTGGTTGTGAACTGGACTCAATACTTGAGGATTTGCTCAAATCAAAGAAAAGTACATTGGAAAAACATTCCAAAGATAGTGAGTCACAAAGTGAAGATCTTAATCTTCTATCACATAAATCAGTAAAGATGAAAACATTTGAGGATGTGCTTCAGACTTCTGCAAACATCACTCATCAACCTATAGGATTTCGATCACCTTCTTCGGGTTTCTCAACTGCTGGAAAGAAAGGTCTTCAGTATGTCAGTAATAAAAGCATGAAAAAGGGAGACCCAATGCTGAAACCTAAAGGTTTTAGGCCATTTAAGAAACCAAGGATTGTTCCAAAACCTAAGGCATTAGACACAACCAGTAAACACATAGAGAATTTCTCCAGAAACATCTGGTGCAGGAGGAGGTGGACAACCTGCTGGTCAATGGCAGACCACTCCAGGGGACTCCGCAACCAAAGAAAATACTGACTCAGAGCTATGTGATATGATGTTGCTTGAGTTCTCACATGACATGACAGAGTTATCTCAAGGTGGTTTTCAAACAAGTGCCCCCAAAGATCCAATTCAAACAGGTGCTCAAGGACACTCTCAAGCAGATGACACTGCACAAGCAGTTGTCACTAATACCAGTGACGGTTACAATAAGGGTAAAACACATGAACAGGGTTCTGAGATAAAGAACATCAAATCAAGTCCATTCAGCACAGCATCAGCAAAAGTGTGACTATATCAGAAGAGGCACTGATGTCAGCTAGATCACTGATGGATGAAGGTAATGATAATACTGCAGACTCTCAAGCATTGCTGGAAGAGGAGCTGTTTCGGGGAGATATGAGCAGTCAGCTTGATGTTAGGGCAGCACCTTTTGGGATGGAAAGAACTAGGGATGGACATCATGAAGCTAGTGCTCATGTGTCAGATTCAGGGAGAGAAACAGCTCATCCTGAGCCTGATGTTCCCTCAGCTGGTGAGTTTGGAGGGGCTAATGTTGGGTTAAAAGGGACTGGGTTCCAGACTGCTTCAGGGAGACAGATGTGTCTTTCAGAAGATTCACTTAGACATGCAAAAGCAATGTGGGATGATCTTCCTATTTCTGAATCAAAAGCAAATGCTGCTTCAGGAGAAAATGCTGCAAATGAGAATAGGAAGATGCTGAATGTTTGCAGTGAGCAAGATCACGTGGTGCCTAATATTGGCCACTTTGATAGCAAATGTGAAGGGAAGGACACCAAGGTTGATCTGAGAACTGAATCAACTGTTGCTTCATCTACCTCCATTGATCAAGAGGCAATTACACTTTCATGTCGGAATCAGAATTTAGTTGCAAGAGATGTTGATGATATGAAGATGTCTTCGAATCCCTTTCAGACAGCTTCTGGGAAGGTAGTCAGTGTTTCATTAGCAGCTCTGAATCAGGCCAGGAAGGTGGTGAGGGAATGTAGGGACATGGCAGAAGTGCCCGAAGAACCAAGTGTAAGAAATGTTTCATATTTGTCAGATGCCAAACATATGGTTAAGGCAACTAAAGAAGATGAGATGTCATTGTCTAGCCTGTTCCAAACAGCATCAGAGAAGGGGGTTACAGTGTCAGAAAGTTCCTTGTCAGCAGCCAAGAAGACACTCAGTGAAGACTTTGATAGTAAACCTCCCAGCCTGTTCCAAACAGCATCCGGGAAAGGGGTTACAGTATCAGAGAGTTCCCTGTTAGCTGCCAAGAAGACACTCAGTGAAGACTTTGATAGTAAACCTCCCAGCCTGTTCCAAACAGCATCAGGGAAGGGGGTTACAGTGTCAGAGAGTTCCCTGTTAGCAGCCAAGAAGACACTATGTGAAGACTTTGATAGTAAACCTCCCAGCCTGTTCCAAACAGCATCAGGGAAAGGGGTTATAATGTCAGAAAGTTCCTTGTCAGCGGCCAAGAAGACACTTAGTGAAGACTTTGATAGTAAACCTCCCAGCCTGTTCCAAACAGCATCAGGGAAAGGGGTTATAATGTCAGAAAGTTCCTTGTCAGCGGCCAAGAAGACACTTAGTGAAGACTTTGATAGTAAACCTCCCAGCCTATTCCAAACAGCATCAGGGAAGGGGGTTACAGTGTCAGAGAGTTCCTTGTTAGCAGCCAAGAAGACACTTAGTGAAGACTTTGATAGTAAACCTCCCAGTCTGTTCCAAACAGCATCAGGGAAAGGGGTCACTGTGGACAAGCAGTCCCTGGCCAAGGCAAAGAAGCTGATGAAGGATGCTCATGAAACCCAGTTGTTAACTATGCCATCATCAAGTTTGTTTCAAACAGCATCTGGAAATGCAGTGACTCTATCTGAGCATGCCCTAGTCAAATCGAGGGAAATTTTCACTGATGAGCACTTTAAACAGGCCAGTTTGTTCAAGACAGCATCAGGCTCTTCTGTTTCTGTATCTTCTGATTCTTTGGATCATGCAAAGTCCTTATTTAATGAATCAGTAGATGACACGTGTACAGAATCATCAACCTTAATCAGTACTTCCAATACAGCTTTGGGTAGTAATGTTTTCGGTGAACATAATTCTCCACAGCAATCCCACATGTTCCAAACAGCTTCAGGAACAGCTGTTGATGTGTCAGCAAATGCTTTGGTCGGAGCCCAGAGACTGCTACAAGATGATCACGACTCATCAGCAGTGCTATCTAAATCCCTCTTCCAAACAGCCTCTGGGTCCTGTGTTGGAGGTTCTACTGAAGCATTAGCCCAAGGAAAGAGACTGTTGGTAGAAGTACAAAAACCACCCACAGCATTGGCTACTTCTGGGCATGGGTTCCAGACTGCTTCTGGGTCTTGTGTTGGAGTTTCTACTGAAGCATTAGCCCAAGGAAAGAAACTGTTGGTAGAAGTACAAGGACCACCCACAACATTGGCTACTTCTGGGCATGGGTTCCAGACTGCTTCTGGCAGAGGCGTGCTTGTGTCTGAGTCTTCGTTGAAGTCCTCCAGGAAGCTGCTGGATGATGCAAATGAGGACAATGTGATCCCTGAACTCGAAGTTCATCAGACTGGATCTCATGAGGAACTTCTTACAACTGATGAACAGAGAAGATTTGGTGAGTTATGTTGAAACTCTGTTTTGTAGAGAGATGATATGGATTACTAATGTTAATATTAAGTAATGAAACTTGTAGGAAAATGCAGGGTTGATGTTACTGTTCATGGAACTTGAATTAACTTGTACCAGATTCATGTAGACATGAAAAACAAGTCACACCGAACAAAAGAAGATTGCACCCTGGTCATATAAATTGTATGTTCAATGAACAGTTAGGTTATGTTAAGTTATGGTTACAAATTTTCTGTTTGTAATTACACTTTCTCAGTAGGTTAGAGTACAAATTCTGAGGTTGAGTCCTATTTGGGATTGAAACTCACACTCTCAGAGTGAAGCACCAAGTCACAACCACACAAAGTCTGTGATACTTCCCGCTCAGCCACCTAGGTTTCCACTTAAATGGACCCGTGAAGATTGGTTATAATATTGATTTTCAGTAACCGACAAATGTCAAGCGTCCCATATAACAGGAGCTGTTGGTCAACTATGACAAATGTCATTGGTTCCCAATTGTGCAGATCGATGTTCATGCTGTTGATCACTGAATTGTCTGGTCCAGACTCCATTATTTACAGAGTGTCGCCATATGACTGGAATATTATTGAGTGCGGCGTAAAACTAAACTCACTCACTCCACTTAAATGGAAACCTGTGCAGATCTGGGTTAGAATTCGCTTGTTGTAACAGGATCTGGTGGTCAGCTGACTTGGTTGACACATGTCATTGTATCCCAGTTGCGTAGGTCGATGCTCATGCTGATGATCACTGGATTGTCTGGTCCAGACTCGATTATTTACAGACCGACACCATATAGCTGGAATATTGCTGAGTGCGGCAATGCACAACAAACACACAAAAATGGAAGTCTGACAACTTGTCCAGACCACATACTTTGTGCACCCCTCCGACATGGCTGATAAGAAAAGTTGTTAGACACCAAAAGGCAGCAGAATAGGGTACCTGTTGTTTCCCTGACTGAAATTAAGGAAATAATAACATTTCTCCTCAGGTCACAGATGCAGATCAAAGACTCCAATGATGTCATCACCAGAATGTAAGATCAGTTTTGTCAATTCCTTGTTTGTTTATTAAAAGAATTTTGAATTATATATTTGGACAATATTTGCTTAGAACGCATAAAATAAACATTAGATTTGCATTCATACGAATACTCCATGGTGTGTCGTACCTGTTCTTGGTGGTGAGGAAAGTGCTTAGTACAGAACTAATGGAGAAACCATCCATTAAATGAAGCATACAACTTTATGGATAAGAACTTCTTGTTTATTGCATAGTGGAACGCTTCGGTGTAGATTCTGACACTGTTAACAAGCTAAAAGTGATTACAACCAAGTGAAGAGAAGTATAGGTCCGTCTCCTATTCTCGTGGGTTTCCTATCCTCGCGGTAAACACGTTTTCTGCCGAGATTGCCGATGCGGAACACTTAGTGGTTGTAAAAGGAAGTAGGAAGTGGCCCAAGTCTGTGAGTGATCAAAATCTTGCAATGTCACGAATATTGGGGAGTTTATACCAACTTGGACATATCATAACTTTTTCCCGCCCTTTCCGGCAGGATTGCTCTTCCATACACTCCATAACGTTACTTCCTTGTTTTACCGCGGAAATAGGAGCAGCCTCATTTCGTCAATGTCGGATGGCATTGTTTATCACCGGACTCAAGAGTGGTAATTCACCTGATGGATCTAGCAGCTGATAGATGCAGATGTTAGAGGAGAAGGTCCTTCATTTAAAACAACAAGCATTCATACGATAAGAATTGTTTGTGTTATTTTTTCAGCCGATATCCATAAGTACCGCGAGAATAGGAAACGCCTTCCTATATATGTACATAGTATGTTATGACAAACAGAAGATTGACATTAACAACATGATGTAGTTGATAATAAGTGGCACATAATTGGGTGAGGTCAGGTGGGGAGTAAGAACAACAAATCACGCAACAAATAGTATGGGTGATGAAACCAATAAACAGGAGGGACTATGTAGTGAAAACAAGCTGATTGGGTGCTACTGATAGCATCTATAGTTTGGCACTATACAGAGCAGTGTTCATGACATGCTTGGTCAGAGTCGAGATGACACCAGGTTAAGAGGGTTGGTTGGAGTTAAAATGATGTACTGGGCCCACTTGCACAAAGCGATACAATAATAGTAACTCCCATTCTACAACATAGGCTAAGATAGTCGTGGCACTAAGATCCCTTTGTGCAAGTGGGCCCAGGTCAGAATGGGTGGGCTTTCTGTGGACTGGTTTGGATCTATTTACATGGGTCTCTGGATACAAGGACATATAGGAATGGGAGTCTCCATAGTGAACTTATTTGGGGATGTTTGGTGTTGAGGTGATGGAGTAGTGAGGTGGGATCTTGATCTTGTCTGGGGGTGATAAAGGTATCCTCCAATTTCCTATACCAACACACAGGTTGGACTAGGGAGTTGGCAAGGGTTCTTGGGTCATGTAGATTTCTTGTAAAGCTGAGGGACAGAGGGGATCCCATGGTCATTCCGTGGATCTGATAAAAAGGTTGTCTCCCACAGTGAAGTAAATGGACGTAACACAAGATTTAGTTAGGCTGATGATAGCTTGGAAAGGTTGGTGATGAGTGGTTGATCCAGCCTGGAGATATGCTGATGATAGCTTGGAAAGGTTGGTGATGAGTGGTTGATCCAGCCTGGAGATATGCTGATGATAGCTTGGAAAGGTTGGTGATGAGTGGTTGATCCAGCCTGGAGATATGCTGATGATAGCTTGGAAAGGTTGGTGATGAGTGGTTGATCCAGCCTGGTGATAGGCTGATGATAGCTTGGAAAGGTTGGTGATGAGTGGTTGATCCAGCCTGGAGATATGCTGATGATAGCTTGGAAAGGTTGGTGATGAGTGGTTGATCCAGCCTGGAGATATGCTGATGATAGCTTGGAAAGGTTGGTGATGAGTGGTTGATCCAGCCTGGTGATATGCTGATGATAGCTTGGAAAGGTTGGTGATGAGTGGTTGATCCAGCCTGGAGATATGCTGATGATAGCTTGGAAAGGTTGGTGATGAGTGGTTGATCCAGCCTGGAGATATGCTGATGATAGCTTGGAAAGGTTGGTGATGAGTGGTTGATCCAGCCTGGAGATATGCTGATGATAGCTTGGAAAGGTTGGTGATGAGTGGTTGATCCAGCCTGGAGATATGCTGATGATAGCTTGGAAAGGTTGGTGATGAGTGGTTGATCCAGCCTGGAGATATGCTGATGATAGCTTGGAAAGGTTGGTGATGAGTGGTTGATCCAGCCTGGAGATATGCTGATGATAACTTGGAAAGGTTGGTGATGAGTGGTTGATCCAGCCTGGAGATATGCTGATGATAGCTTGGAAAGGTTGGTGATGAGTGGTTGATCCAGCCTGGAGATATGCTGATGATAGCTTGGAGAGGTTGGTGATGAGTGGTTGATCCAGCCTGGAGATAGGCTGATGATAGCTTGAGACAAGTTGGTGATGAGTGGTTGATCCAGCCTGGAGATATGCTGATGATAGCTTGGAGAGGTTGGTGATGAGTGGTTGATCCAGCCTGGAGATATGCTGATGATAGCTTGGAAAGGTTGGTGATGAGTGGTTGATCCAGCCTGGAGATATGCTGATGATAGCTTGGAAAGGTTGGTGATGAGTGGTTGAACCAGCCTGGAGATATGCTGATGATAGCTTGGAAAGGTTGGTGATGAGTGGTTGATCCAGCCTGGAGATATGCTGATGATAGCTTGGAAAGGTTGGTGATGAGTGGTTGATCCAGCCTGGATATATACTGATGATAACTTGGAAAGGTTGGTGATGAGTGGTTGATCCAGCCTGGAGATATGCTGATGATAGCTTGGAAAGGTTGGTGATGAGTGGTTGATCCAGCCTGGAGATATGCTGATGATAGCTTGGAAAGGTTGGTGATGAGTGGTTGATCCAGCCTGGAGATATGCTGATGATAGCTTGGAAAGGTTGGTGATGAGTGGTTGATCCAGCCTGGAGATATGCTGATGATAACTTGGAAAGGTTGGTGATGAGTGGTTGATCCAGCCTGGATATATACTGATGATAGCTTGGAAAGGTTGGTGATGATTGGTTGATCCAGCCTGGAGATATGCTGATGATAGCTTGGAGAGGTTGGTGATGAGTGGTTGATCCAGCCTGGAGATAGGCTGATGATAGCTTGGAGAGGTTGGTGATGAGTGGTTGATCCAGCCTGGAGATATGCTGATGATAGCTTGGAAAGGTTGGTGATGAGTAGTTGATCCAGCCTGGAGATATGCTGATGACAGCTTGGGAAGGTTGGTGATGAGTGGTTGATCCAGCCTGGAGATATGCTGGAGGAGGGATATGCATCCAACTTGTTTTGGAAAAAGAACTGTTACTCATGCATCATGTTTAGTAAGTGTGCAGATTAATTGATTCGGGCATTTGCTTCCTGAACAGCGACCCACCTTGACCGGCTGGTGAAAGGAGGCCGGAGACTTCAGCCAATCATGTCAACATCGTTCAGCACAACACCCAGGTATCATCTGTCACAGCCACAGTTGTAATGATAATATATTTGCCCTCTTTATTTCACCAGCTTTTGAAATAGTGCCCTGGCCTGAGATGGGTTTGAATTCCCACATGGGTACAATGTATGAAGCCCATTTCTGGTGTCCCAGCCATGATATTGCTGGACAATTGCTAAAAGTGGCATAAAACCCAACTCACTCACTCTCACTCTCTCACTCATTCATTCATTCACTCACTCACTCACTCACTCACTCACTCACTCACTCACTCACTCACTCACTCACTCACTCACTCACTCACTCACTCACTCACCTCACTCAGACTTGACTAGATACATACTTTTAACATTAACATTGTCATTAAAGGCCAGGTGGGCAAACCTCCCAAAATTCCATTAGCTCCCATTGGCTACTAGTCAGCAGTGTACTGGTAGATGTTATCTGCCCAGTGTAATAATGTATGCTTTGTAGGCTGTCTGCATACATACATTTTATAATGAGCCTTCATAACATACTTCTTTACACTATAGCTTAATTTCATCATGAACTGGTAAGTCAATTTTGTGATATTTCATGGAATGTATTTCATTGCCATAGTGTAAAGAAGCATGTTATGAAGGCTCATTATAAAATGTATGTATGCAGACAGCTTTAACAAGGTAAGGAGGCCACACCCTATCTGTGTATAGGTTTGAACCCCCGCCTTTAAGGACTTCTTAGTCATAAACATGATTGTATGTTATTTTTGCAATATCCCAGCATTATCACAGAGCTTGACTCATTGTATCCCTGCAGGGAAACGAACCCAGGCCTTCACCATCACAAGCAAACACTTTTATCACTTGGCTACATTACCGCCCCTGGAATTTCATAAAGTAAATGTAAATAGTCCTAGGCCAAATGCTAGAAAAGTGCCTATCTTTTAGCATCTGTCTACAGCAGTAAAACTGTTATCCAGTAATTAGTATGACACCTCCCACCCACTGGAAATTCTTTGTGATATGGAACTAGCCACAGAATATATCAGGTTACTAAAAGCAAACAAGGTTTTACTCACTGCTTGACCCACACAGTCCACATGTAATCAGACCATGAATATAAAGCCTGCTCTACTGGAGGGTGTACCCGTAAAGGTCTGGGTTAGAATATTGATCTTTAGTAACCCATGCTTGTCGTAACAGGCGACTAACGGGATCGGGTGGTCAGGCTCGCTGACTTGGTTGACACATGTTATCGGTTCCCAATTGCACAGATCGATGCTCATGCTGTTGATCACGGGATTGTCTGGTCCAGACTCCATTATTTACAGACCGCCGTCATATGGCTGGAATATTGCTGAGTGCAGCATAAAACTAAACTCACTCACTACTGGAGGGTGACAAGCACTGGTGTTCCACATGGTAAAGATATACTGTGTGGGTGATACGGCTGGGTCTATCATATCACCTGATTTTGATGCTATCTCTACATTTGTCCTTGGAGTATATAACATTATATTATTCATTTACTGGTATTTCAAACAAAAATATTTCATATCTGAATGCTAATTGTCAAATTACAGCATGAACCCTCCTCTTCCTAAAGCTGCAGCTGCCCTTTAATAGACGACATAAAGTTACAATTCAGATATTCTCTGCTTGACGCAGGTCTGATGACTATGATCTTGATGCTATTCTGAACAAGTCATCTGAGAAGCGGACATCAAACACTACCTCCAGCTTCAAGACTCCATACAAGAACTCTGCATTCATCACTCCAGTCCGCAAAGCCAGTGATCAGGACAAACACACTCTAGGGAACTCCAGCAAAACACCTGTATTCTACCCCAGAGCATCTCTGAGAGCCAATCAAAAGCAGGCTAGAAACATCCAAACCAATCACAACAGAAGAAGTCTTGAGTTAGCCAGACATGATTCTTGTGGAATGGGTCCATCTGGTTCAAATACAAGATCTGGTTCAGGGACTGACAACACTTATAGAACTAAGCCATCTATTGCAAGTTTAAGGTCAGGGGAGGACATTTCTGGTAGAGGGAGTCCTGTGACAATGGAGAACAGTAGTGAGAATGCAATGAGCATTGATGATGGACAACAGCAATTTGAGTCTGTTGTCAGTGTTCTCAAGCAGAACACAGGATGTGTTGGGGTAGCTGGGGAGGATCTTGTGTTTCAGCCAGGCAAAATAAGTTCAGTTCAGGCAAAGGAAATAGCTTCTACATCTATTGACTTGAAGCACCACCTGGAGGAAGCAAGACAGAAACAAGGGGAGATAATTCAGAGGAAGAAGAAGCAGAAGGTTCGCCCAAGCTGTGGCCGCCTGTTCAGTGAGAAGCAGTCTGCAGGGATGAGACTACAGTACAGAGACCTCATGGTGGAGGGATCTTTGAGTGATCAGGAGGTGAGATAGAGGGCTTTTTATCTAGGCCATGTCAGCTATGTTGTGGAGGTCATGTCAGATGTGATGAGTCATGTCAGGTTGTTTGTGGTTGTCAATTACAGTATATTTTTGGAGGTCAAGTTTGTATGTAGAGGTCATGTAAGCTTTGTTGTTTGAGGTTATGCCGGGAGGTGATGGGAAACCATGAAAGGTAGGTTTGTTGAGGTCATGCCAGGAGGTAATGGGAAACCATAAAGTGTATGTTTGTTGAGGTCATGCCAGGAGGTGATGGGAAACCATGAAGTGTATGTTTGTTGAGGTCATGCCAGGAGGTGATGGGAAACCATAAAGTGTATGTTTGTTGAGGTCATGCCAGGAGGTGAGTGTATGTTTGTTGAGGGGAAACCATGAAGAGTATGTTTGTTGAGGTCATGCCAGGAGGTGATTGGAAACCATGAAAGGTATGTTTATTGAGGTCATGCCAGGAGGTGATGGGAAACCATAAAGTGTATGTTTGTTGAGGTCATGCCAGGAGGTGATGGGAAACCATGAAGAGTAGGTTTGTTGAGGTCATGCCAGGAGGTGATGGGAAACCATAAAGTGTATGTTTGTTGAGGTCATGCCAGGAGGTGATGGGAAACCATGAAGTGTATGTTTGTTGAGGTCATGCCAGGAGGTGATGGGAAACCATGAAGTGTATGTTTGTTGAGGTCATGTTGATTGCAGTCCATGTTTACTTGGAATTATATCAGGAGTGTTAATTAGTTGCCCTAGTTATCACTCACATCATTCTCATACTGACAACCAGTGATCCTAATAAATCATTGAAAAATTGAAATCTTTGTATATTCTTGTCCACTAATCTTTTTTCACAAAACCTAACTTACATGTTTGTGATTTCCTGGTTTCTACAGCCAGGACTTACCATGTTGCAGAATGATGAAGTTTTGACTGAACATTGTTCACAATATAACGTCTTTCACTCTTGTTTTGACAATACATGTTCTAAGTGTCTACAGTGTACAATCTGCCTTCAGCTGTGTTCTATGGGAGTGAGACAGGAGATTCCTGACATCAGCAGCAACAACGCTGAGGACTTCCGCTTCAACCTGCTACTCTACTACCCCAACATGACGAGCCGTGTTCTGGTGGGGGATGGGGCACACTTGCTTCCTGACAACTCGGGGTTCGCTGGCAAGGAGGAATTCTACAGGTCTGTGTTCCACCTTGGAATTATCAAGAGCAATAACATAACTCTCCTCAGCTATCTAGTATGTCCTCAATTCTTTTATGATGTGCACCTGGAACCATTCAACACCATGACTCTGTTTTACACATCACAAGCATCTGAGTCTCCTACATCTGACCTTAGAGTAAAATAAAAACATTTTTACGATTTTTTTTCCATTTGGATCAGTCTCAAGGTTTATTATATGACAGGTAGATTTCCGCCCTTCTGATTGGCCCACTTGGTCACATGACAGCTTTGACGCTAAGCGATGTCGACCTTCGCCACGTCACGAGAGGTTGACATACAACCTCGGCCCGTCGCGAGAGGTTGATATAACAATCCAAGCACCTCCCGTGGCTAAAAATAGATTTAGGATATTCAAGCTGTGAACTCTGACTGCGTGCGTCACGCTAGATAAGGAATTTTATGCATCGCTTCATCCCTGTGACTGTGTTGGTTGAGAGTTGCGTCCTATCTGTATCAAAATGGCAGACGACACACCATGAAGAATCATGACTGTGTCAGAAGAGGAAATACATCGTCTACTGAAGGAAAAAGATGCATGCAACACTAGAAGGGCTTTCATTTCCACTTACATGTTTCAGAACATGCTTTCATTTACTATTTCTGCCTCTGAAAGCTGTAAGCCTAGTCCAGCTCTCCTATGTGTCTCTCCTATGTCAAAGAAGACCAGGTATTCAGTACTTTTGTCATATAATAAAACAATTATTGACTTCAGCTCAGCTTCGCCTCGGTGAATATCCCATGTCCAAGGTCGATAAATCATTGGATCAACCTCACTAGAAGTCAATAATTGTATAGTGTTGGTAGAGAGATCATGGGTAATAATAATCATCATATCCTGGGTCATTGATGATTTATACACATTGTGGTCTCACCTTAGGCAAGTGAGTTTGTTCAAAATTGCCTCTATTCACCCAGCAGAAAATGGGTACCCGGTGGGATAAGTCATATGACTATTGACTAGTAACCTTCTGCAGCTTGGGTTACCTGGGGTAATGATGTCCATCAAGTCGTATTCTCTTAGAGCATGTCCATGCAGCGTGGAGTTACAGTCCTCCCTCGCAATAACGCTCTTCACGATACCACCGATTCGGTTGAATTATCATGTCTAGTGATGTTTGATTGCAAGGTTCCTGTACACACATCTATTTTCATGTACAAAGTTGTTGTTTTTTTCACCTCTAACAATACGATATAGTTTCGACTTGGCACAATACACAAAGAAGAAGTTTTGTTATGTCCATGGAAAATAGGATTTTACTGGGCCTTTGTTCCCCGTTATGTAATAGTTACTATAACGTGGGTGTCTAATAACGCGGGGGGTCATCCGCGTTATGGCGAGGGATGACTGTATTATTATTATAGACATTACTAACACTAAGGGGGCGGTGGGGTAGCCTAATGGTTAAAGCGTCCGCTCGACATGCTGAAGACCTGGGTTCGATCCCCCACATAGGTGCAATGTGTGAAGCCCATTTCTGGTGTCCCCCGCCGTGATATTGCTGGAATATTGCTAAAAGCGGCGTAAAACCATACTCACTCACTCACTAACACTAAGCATATGTTGTTATCAGTGGGTCAAATGGGGCTGTAGTGATACAGTGGGGATATGTGTGTGAGTGTCTTAAGTTTCGCTGTGATTTAATGCTTATATACAGTTCTACTTCATCAGACTCGTGAAGATCCGGGTTAGAATTGATCTTCAGTAACCCATGCTTGTTGTAACAGGCAACTAACATGATCAGGTGGTCAGGCTCGCTGACTTGGTTGACACATGTCATTGTATCCCAGTTCTGTAGGTCGATGCTCATGCTGTTGATCACTGGATTGTGTGGCCTCGATTATTTACAGAACGCCGCGGTATATAGCTGGAATGTTGCTGAGTGTGGCGTAAAACTAAACTCACCCACTCACTCTACTTCATCAAGGGGAAAGTGTCAGAATGTGCTGGAGTTGGGTAGCAATGTTAAGCGGCAACATTGTATATCAAGAGATGACACTATTGGATTGACATAGGTCTAGTGCAAGCAGCCACACACATGCACATATAGCAGTATATGTGAAACTGTTTTCAACATGGCATTAAACTTCATTTCTCCTCCCCCAGCTCACCCCCAAATGGCATCTTGTAATCATATTCATGAAAGACAGTAACTTTGTACATGTTTTGTTTAAATTTCAGATCGTTTATCAGCCTGGAGAGTGTTGACCCGGCTTTGGTGTCCGATATCTGGGTGTACAATCACTACCGGTGGATCGTGTGGAAGCTGGCTGCTTATGAGGCATCGTATCCAGCTCAGTTTTCTGGAAGGTGAGTTGGTCAGGAACGTGATACCTGGGAGAATAACCACTAACGGTAGAGTGCGTGAGACGCATGCAACATTTCTGCCTAAGGTTTTCTCGAATTTGAGTTGCAAAAGATCAAGTCTCCAATATGTGACTGTTCAATCAATTCCTGTGGATTTTGAGATGTTATACTTTAGACATAATGATGAAAGGCGACATTCCACTGAAAAGTAATGTGAAATAGAAAAAGGTTATTAATAATTTATACATAGGAAACATTTAATGAAAATAAGACAGAATATGGATCAAGGCTCCATTTGATTCAGATCTTGTTGAATCAGAGATCACAAAAATAATAGTGATCAAAGAGTTTGTCCACAAGTTCATTATGTTCAGGCTGCCTGGTGGCTGTGATTTTGTTGACCATAGCACAAAACAACATTCACTCTCACACTGAAGCCTGCGATCTGTTTCAGATGAAATTCCAAAGTACCCAAACAACTCTTTTTTGTTGTAAAACTTAAGGTCATTTTGCATACATTTGTACCATCCTGTGACACCCTGTAAAGTTCTCTCTGATCCTCAGGTGCCTGACCCCAAACAATGTGATGCTGCAGCTGAAGTATCGATATGACCGTGAAGTGGACCGCTGTCACAGGTGAGGATGGAGTGACTCAGTAGATCGCTGTCACAGGTGAGGATGGAGTAACTCAGTAGATCGCTGTCACAGGTGAGGATGGAGTATGACTCAGTAGATCGCTGTCACAGGTGAGGATGGAGTGTAGCTGTCACAGGTCAGTAGATCTCCGTGGAGGTGAACACAGATGGAGTGACTCAGTAGATCGCTGTCACAGGTGAGGATGGAGTGACTCAGTAGATGACTCAGAGTGAGGATGGAGATCGCTGTCACAGGTGAGGATGGAGTGACTCAGTAGATCGCTGTCACAGGTGAGGATGGAGTGATGTCAGTAGATCGCTGTCACAGGTGAGGATGGAGTGACTCAGTAGATCGCTGTCACAGGTGAGGATGGAGTGACTCAGTAGATCGCTGTCACAGGTGAGGATGGAGTGACTCAGTAGATCGCTGTCACAGGTGAGGATGGAGTATGTGATTCAGTAGATCGCTGTCACAGGTGAGGATGACTCAGTAGATCGCTGTCACAGGTGAGGATAGAGTGATTCAGTAGATCGCTGTCACAGGTGAGGATGGAGTATGTGATTCAGTAGATCAGCTGTCACAGGTGAGGATGGAGTATGTGACTCAGTAGATCGCTGTCACAGGTGAGGATGGAGTATGTGATTCAGTAGATCGCTGTCACAGGTGAGGATGGAGTATGTGACTCAGTAGATCGCTGTCACAGGTGAGGATGGAGTGACTCAGTAGATCGCTGTCACAGGTGAGGATGGAGTATGTGATTCAGTAGATCGCTGTCACAGGTGAGGATGGAGTATGTGATTCAGTAGATCGCTGTCACAGGTGAGGATGGAGAGTGACTCAGTAGATCGCTGTCACAGGTGAGGATGGAGATTCAGTAGATGTGCTGTTCAGTGAGATCGTGATTCAGTGATGGCTGTCAGGTGAAGATGAAATTGATTCAGTAGATCGCTGTCAAAGGTGAGGATAGATTAAGTGACCCAGTATATCCTTGGTTTGAGGTGGATGGTGGGGTGGATGTGAAAAGGGTAGATCCTTGGTGAGGGTGTGTGTGGTGGGATGTAGGGTGGATGTGAGGGAGGGTAGATGCTTGGTTTGAGGTGGGTGGGGTGGATGTGAGGGAGGGTAGATGCTTGGTTTGTGGTGGGTGGGGTGGATGTGAAGGAGGGTAGATTCTTGGTGTGAGGTGAATGGGTTCGGTTGATGTGAGGGAGGGTAGATGCTTGGTTTGTGATGGGTGTGGGTGGGGTGGATGTGATGGAGGGTAGATCCTTGGTGTGAGGTGAATTGGTTCGGTTGATGTGAGGGAGGGTAGATGCTTGGTTTGTGATGGGTGTGGGTGGGGTGGATGTGAAAGAGGGTAGATCCTTGGTGTGAGGTGAATAGGTTCGGTTGATGTGAGGGAGGGTAGATGCTTGGTTTGTGATGGGTGTGGGTGGGGTGGATGTGAAGGAGGGTAGATCCTTGGTGTGAGGTGAATGGGTTTGGTTGATGTGAGGGAGGGTAGATGCTTGGTTTGTGATGGGTGTGGGTGGGGTGGATGTGAAGGAGGGTAGATTCTTGGTTTGAGGTGAAAGGGTTCGGTTGATGTGAGGGAGGGTAGATGCTCGGAGTGTTAGGTGGGGTGGATGTGAGGGAGTGTAGATGCATGGGGTGTGGGTGGGGAGGATTTGAAGAAGGGTAGATCCATGGCTTGGCGTGAGGAGGGTCGATTGGTTAATTGGTAGCGTGGATCTATATGTGGGGGCAGGATTTAGGAAGGAAGGGGAGGGAAGGTGGGTCAACCTTTATTATTGAACTCTCTCAGCTGGTTGTTTATCAGTAAATGGAACTATGAGATCCACTTTCTTTTCTCAAAACTAGCAGATTTTACTTAAACAACAGGACTGTTCTATGGATCTCTCATGGTCCTGTCTCTGTAAGCCTATACATTTCTGATGTAACAGAACCTATGCCCACTGCTTGATATGCCTACTGTCCATCTTTCATATGCAGGTCAGCCCTGAAAAAAATAGTTGAGTGAGATGATGCTGCCTGCAAGAGGCTGGTGCTGTGTGTGTCTGGGATCAAGATGCCCCAGACAGGACCAGACAGTGAGGGGGCGGGACAGGTGAGAGAACAGGTGTGTGGGGGCTGTGTGTGTGGACAGGCAGTGACAGGGCAGAACATGTCTGTATCTCAGTCTGTCTGTCTGTGGATGGACAGTTAATGGATAGAACAGGTGAGAAAACAGGTGTGTGTGTGTGTTTCAGTGATCAGGGTTGCCCAGTCAGGACCGGACAATGATATGATAGGACAGGTGAGAGAAAAGGTGTGTGTGTGTGTCTGAGGGATCAAGATGCCCGAATCAGTACCAGACACTGACAGTACAGGTGAGCACAGGTGTTGTGGTGTATGTCAGGGAGCAGAGTCGGCAAGTCATTACCAAACAATTACAGGACAGGTGTGAGAAAACAGTGTGTGTGTGGTATATTGAATTTGTGTATGTAAAATACAGGATCTTCTGGTTAATCAATTATGTGGCTCTACCTGTCAGATTTATTAGCATGATTTGTCATACACATCATGTAGCCACTGAACACTTTTCAATAGGGTTTTCTATTGTTGAACAATGTATACATGGGATTTCAGTGTGTGGTAGAGCTGACTGATGGATGGTACTGTATAAAGGGTCAGCTGGATGTGGGTCTGGCGGCACTGGTGGCCACCAAGAAGATCTCTGTTGGTCAGAAGATCTGTGTCAGTGGATCGGAGCTGACTGGGTCGCAGGAGGCGTGTCCCCCACTTGAGGTGAGTCAGGGCTGTAGGGTCCCCACTGGGAGGCGAGTCCCCACTTAGTGTCCCCACTTGAGGTGAGTCAGGGCTGTAGTGTCCCCCACTTGAGGTGAGTCAGGGCTGTAGTGTCCCCACTTGAGGTGAGTCAGGGCTGTAGTGTCCCCACTTGAGGTGAGTCAGGGCTGTAGTGTCCCCACTTGAGGTGAGTCAGGGCTGTAGTGTCCCCCACTTGAGGTGAGTCAGGGCTGTAGTGTCCCCACTTGAGGTGAGTCAGGGCTGTAGTGTCCCCACTTGAGGTGAGTCAGGGCTGTAGTGTCCCCCACTTGAGGTGAGTCAGGGCTGTAGTGTCCCCCACTTGAGGTGAGTCAGGGCTGTAGTGTCCCCACTTGAGGTGAGTCAGGGCTGTAGTGTCCCCCACTTGAGGTGTCAGGGCTGTAGTAACCCCCACTTGAGGGGCTGCTGTAGTGTCCCCACTCTGAGGTGAGTGAGTGTCCCCCAGTCAGGGCTGTAGTGTCCCCACTTGAGGTGAGTCAGGGCTGTAGTGTCCCCCACTTGAGGTGAGTCAGGGCTGTAGTGTCCCCCACTTGAGGTGACTCAGGGCTGTAGTGTCCCCCACTTGAAGTGAGTCAGGGCTGTAGTGTCCCCCACTTGAGGTGAGTCAGGGCTGTAGTGCTTCTTTGTGCAGCTGTTACCTGTTAATGGATCATGGGGCCAAACTTAGTGACTTGATTGATAGCATGTCATCATATTGCTTTAATGTAGGCATTAAACAACAAAACAACCAACAAATTGTTGTTCACGTTAATTGTGTTGTTGAGATGTTAAGCTTCAGCCTACATGGATATTATGGACTGATGACCATGGATTTAAATCCAAGTTGACTCTAATTAACTACATGCTTGGGTAGATGAGAAACAAATTATCGTATCTCTTAAATATTTCTTCGTACCTTTTGCATATAAGGCCTGAGAATGAGAATGGTAACTCTTGCAATGGGGTAACTGAGTCATAGTGTAGAACTATTCTCATTATTTCCCATTCACCATGGTTAAGCGACATAACGTGACAGATGTTGTGTTGCAGATCCCGGAGTCTCTGTATCTGAAGATCTGCATGAACTCCACTCGGCCTGCCCCGGGAGACAGCAAGCTGGGCTATCAGCGGGACCCCCGACCTCTCTGTGTTCCAATCAGCACCCTGCATGCAGAGGGGGGCGTGGCTGGTTGTGTGGACGTTGTGGTCACGAGGATATATCCTGTCATGGTTAGTGTATTTGTTCAAGTGCTCACAGGGCCTGTATTTACTCATATGTTTTCATTCACATTGAACAGCTACAGAATTTGGGGCTTCAGTATATTTTTACTTTCTTAGTTTGATTCTGTTTGGTGTTTATAAACAAATTTTAACAGAAACAGGATCCTGAAAATGAAAGTAGTATGAAACTTACTCACTCACTCAATGATTCACATACTGTAAACTATGGTTATTCAGAGCTACAGATAACTTCTGGGTCATCAAGTTATGTACTCGATTGTGTTCATCTCAATTGGATATCCTAATTTTCCTTTGAGTAACCAAATAAATTGTATTCACCTCACTCAAACTCAGTTGGGTATTTTACCATTTTCCATTAATTTTATAATATAATAAAGTTTAAATGTTAGTGTTTGTTATTTATATTTGATCTGTAATATGAGAAATGATAAGAAAGACTGCAAGTTATCAAGTTCATGTCCTGAAATAGAACCTCTCAATATACCTCAGTTATTTTATCTATCCACTGGCACAAAAGCTAAGATTTGACATTTTTGTGTGTACACATGTAAGATCACATTTATTGAGTATTTACAAAAATTCAAGCATACTTGTACGTAATATACTTAATAGGAATTGAGTTTTCACTGTCTGTCTGTCTGAAATCTGTCAAGTTCTGTAATAAGTGTGTTTGTTATAAACATAGTTTACTGTATTTGTTGGGTAGAATATTACCACTAGATGAGGAGGTGTATGAAGCAGTGATATTGTCATTATTGACTCACATGCTGCTTGTGTTGCCCAGTACATGGAGAAGCTGGTGGAGGGAGGGACCGTGTTCCGGACGGAGGAGGCAGAGGAGCGGATGCAGCGACAGTTTGACACACACAAGCAGGACAAGATGGAGAAGCTATACACAGAGATACAGGCTGGTTTGGAGAAGGACCTGGGGAGAGGTGAGATTCACTGATATTGATCATTCAACGACATTTTTGTTAATGTCAGTTGTTTCAGTGTCTGCACATAGCTATGATGTGACACATTTTGTGGTACATGGAGAAAAACTGCCCATTCATTAGCCAATCAGAAGGGAGTATCTTCCTGCTAGTAAGATAATCACCAGTGTAAACATGATAAGGTGAGCTTCATGATGAATCAGTTGATTACTTTGTATTACAGTGTTATGTTCATCATGTTGGACACAGTTAAACAATTTCCCTTTAAAGGTCGACGTAAATCCCGGAAACGCTGGTCACAGCGGGAGGTGGAGGATCTCCAGACTGGCCAGGAGATTTACGATGCTGTTGAGGGGTCACTGCAACCAGAGGAGGTCCATGTGAGTTGTCTCCCCTTTGATCTGCATCCCATGTATGTATACACCAGTGTTCAAGGAATCAATGGCTGTACTGGTTGCACAATCAGTACAACCTCCATCCCTCGTGTTAAAATATCCCCCTGTCTCCTTGCCAGTCTTTCCTGTCCCTCATCCATTAGTCCATCAATCTCCCTGTCAAAAGTCCACAAGTCAAACAGTCTCCCTGCACATTTTTCCTGCCCAAGTCCATCAGTCCGTCAGTCTCCTTGTCCCAAATCCATCCGTCCATCAATCTCCCTGTCCCAAATCCACCACTTCATCAACCTCCCTATCCATAGTCCATCAGTCCATCAATCTCCCTGTCCCAAGTCCATCTAAGCATCAATCTCCCTGTCCATAGTCCAACTTCACTGTCCAAGTCCATCAGTCCATCAATCTCCCTGTCCAAGTCCATCAGTCCATCAATCTCCCTGTCCCAAGTCCATCTAACTATCAATCTCCCTATCCATAGTCCATCAGTCCATCAATCTCCCTGTCACAAGTCCATCTAACTATCAATCTCCCTATCCATAGTCCATCAGTCCATCAACCTCCCTGTCCCAAGTCCATCTAACTATCAATCTCCCTATCCATAGTCCATCAACCTCACTGTCCAAGTCCATCAGTCCATCAATCTCCCTGTCCATCAGTCCATCAATCTCCCTGTCACAAGTCCATCTTACTATCAATCTCCCTATCCATAGTCCATCAGTCCATCAATCTCCCTGTCACTATCCATCCTAACTATCAATCTCCTATCCATAGTCCATCAGTCCATCAATCTCCCTGTCCATCAAGTCCATCTAACTATCAATCTCTCCTATCCATACTGTCCAAGTCCATCAGTCCATCATCTCCCTGTCCAAGTCCATCAGTCCATCAATCTCCTGTCCCAAGTCCATCTAACTATCAATCTCCTATCCATAGTTCATCAGTCCATCAAACAATCTCCTGTCAGTCCCAAGTCCATCTCTAACTATCCAATCTCCCTATCCATAGTCCATCAGTCCATCAACCTCCCCTGTCCCAAGTCCATCTAACTATCAATCTCCCTGTCCATCAGTCCATCAACCATCACTGTCCCCAAGTCCAATCCCAAGTCCACTATCAATCCATAGTCCATCAGTCCATCAAGTCCATCTCCTGTCCCAAGTCCATCTAACTATCAATCTCCTATCCATAGTCCATCAGTCCATCCAACCTCCTGTCCCAAGTCCATCCTAACTATCAATCTCCTATCCATAGTCCATCCAGTCCATCAATCTCCCTGTCCCAAAGTCCATCACTTCTTATCAATCTCCTGTCCATCAGTCCATCAATCCATCTGTCCTGTCCACTTCCTGTCCATCCAAGTCCATCCGGTCCATCATCAATCTCCTGTCCAAGTCCATCCACTTCATCAACCTCCTATCCATAGTCCATCAATCCCTCCCAAGTCTATCAATCATCCTATCCATAGTCCATCAGTCCATCAATCTCCCTGTCCCAAGTCCATCCCAACTATCAATCTCCCTGTCCATAGTCCATCAACCTCACTGTCCAAGTCCATCAGTCCATCAATCTCCCTGTCCAAGTCCATCAGTCCATCAATCTCCCTGTCCCAAGTCCATCTAACTATCAATCTCCCTATCCATAGTCCATCAGTCCATCAATCTCCCTGTCCCCAGTCCATCTAACTATCAATCTCCCTATCCATAGTCCATCAGTCCATCAACCTCCCTGTCCCAAGTCCATCTAACTATCAATCTCCCTATCCATAGTCCATCAACCTCACTGTCCAAGTCCATCTCAGTCCATCAATCTCCCTATCCATAGTCCATCAGTCCATCAACCTCCCTGTCCCAAGTCCATCCTAACTATCAATCTCCTATCCATCCAGTCCAGTCCATCAACCTCCCTGTCCAAGGTCCCTGTCCCAAGTCCATCTAACTATCAATCTCCTATCCATAGTCCATCCATATCATCTGTCCATAGTTCATCATATCCTCAATCTCCCTGTCCATCAATCCACTGTCCATCAGTCCAGTCCATCAATCTCCCTGTCCATCTAAGTCCATCGGTCCATCAATCCCATCTCCTGGGTTCCAAGTCCATCAGTCATCCTGTCCATCCAAGTCCATCCAGTCCCATCAATCTCTCCCTGTCCCAAGTCCATCCTAACTCCATCAATCTCCTATCCATCCATGGTCCATCAGTCCATCAGTCCAGTCCATCAGTCCATCAACCTCCTGTCCCAAGTCCATCAGTCCATCAACCTCCAGTAGGTCCCATATCCATCAATCTCCTGTCCCAGTCCATCAATCCCTCCTGTCCAAGTCCATCAGTCCATCAATCTCCTGTCCAAGTCCATCACTGTCTATCAATCTCCTATCCATGAGTCCATCAACCTCACTGTCCAAGTCCATCAGTCCATCAACCTCACTGTCCAAGTCCATCAGTCCATCAATCTCCCTGTCCAAGTCCATCAGTCCATCAATCTCCCTGTCACAAGTCCATCTAACTATCAATCTCCCTATCCATAGTCCATCAACCTCACTGTCCAAGTCCATCAGTCCATCAATCTCCCTATCCATAGTTCATCATATCCATCAATCTTCCTGTCCCAAATGTGAAGCCCATTTCTGGTGTCCCCCGCCGTGATGTTGCTGGAATATTGCTAAAAGCGTCGTAAAACTAAACTCAGTCAGTCAGTCCTGTCCCAAATCCATCCGTCCATCAATCTCCCTGTCCCAAATCCACCACTTCATCAACCTCCCTATCCATAGTCCATCAGTCCATCAATCTCCCTGTCCCAAGTCCATCTAACTATCAATCTCCCTATCCATAGTCCATCAACCTCACTGTCCAAGTCCATCAGTCCATCAATCTCCCTGTCCAAGTCCATCAGTCCATCAATCTCCCTGTCCCAAGTCCATCTAACTATCAATCTCCCTATCCATAGTCCATCAGTCCATCAATCTCCCCGACCCGTGAAGATCCGGGGTAGAATAGGTCTTCAGCAACCCATGTGCTTGCCATAAAAAGGCGACTATCTTGTCGTAAGAGGCGACTAACGGGATCGGGTGGTCAGTTTCGCTGACTTGGTTGACACATGTCATCGGTTCCCAATTGCGCAGGTCGATGCTCATGCTGTTCATCACTGGATTGTCTGGTCCAGACTCGATTATTTACAGACCGCCGCCATATAGCTGGAATATTGCTGAGTGCAGCGTAAAACTAAACTCACTCACTCACTCATCAATCTCCCTGTCACAAGTCCATCTAACTATCAATCTCCCTATCCATAGTCCATCAGTCCATCAACCTCCCTGTCCCAAGTCCATCTAACTATCAATCTCCCTATCCATAGTCCATCAACCTCACTGTCCAAGTCCAACAGTCCATCAATCTCCCTGTCCCAAGTCCATCTAACTATCAATCTCCCTATCCATAGTCCATCAGTCCATCAACCTCCCTGTCCCAAGTCCATCTAATTATCAATCTCCCTGTCCATAGTCCACCAACCTCACTGTCCAAGTCCATCAGTCCATCAATCTCCCTGTCCATAGTTCATCAGTCCATCAACCGACCTGTCCCAAGTCAATCTAACTATCAATCTCCCTATCCATAGTCCATCAGTCCATCAACCTCCCTGTCCCAAATCCATCAGCCCATCAATCTCCCCGTCCATCAGCCCATCAATCTCCCTGCCTGTCTTTTAGGGTCCCGGTCCCTCATTATGTCAATCTCCCTGTCCCAAGTTTTATACACCAATAACATAATGCAGAGTTCAAGAGACAGTATATTTGTGTATAGATGTCTCCAGTCTCTATGCCTCTACAGAGTTCAAGAGACAGTATATTTGTGTATAGATGTCTCCAGTCTCTATGCCTCTACAGAGTTCAAGAGACAGTATATTTGTGTATAGATGTCTCCAGTCTCTATGCCTCTACAGAGTTCAAGAGACAGTATATTTGTGTATAGATGTCTCCAGTCTCTATGCCTCTACAGAGTTCAAGAGACAGTATATTTGTGTATAGATGTCTCCAGTCTCTATGCCTCTACAGAGTTCAAGAGACAGTATATTTGTGTATAGATGTCTCCAGTCTCTATGCCTCTACAGAGTTCAAGAGACAGTATATTTGTGTATAGATGTCTCCAGTCTCTATGCCTCTACAGAGTTCAAGAGACAGTATATTTGTGTATAGATGTCTCCAGTCTCTATGCCTCTACAGAGTTCAAGAGACAGTTTATTTGTGTATTGATGTCTCCAGTCTCTATGCCTCTACAGAGTTCAAGAGACAGTATATTTGTGTATAGATGTCTCCAGTCTCTATGCCTCTACAGAGTTCAAGAGACAGTATATTTGTGTATAGATGTCTCCAGTCTCTATTGCCTCTACAGAGTTGGCTGACTGAGCACCAGGCCCAGATGATGGACAACCACCGACGCCACCTGCAGGACCAGCAACACCAGCAACTACAGGACAAGCTCCACACAGCCTGGGAGGAAGCTCAACAGGTAGGCAGTGTTTGGAGGTGAGCTTATAAGCCTCATAAGCCAAGTCTCTGACATTTACTGCATTATGTTAGGAATTAGAGACCAGCTTCATAACTGTCACTAGCTGGTGCTGGATCATTTACAACACTGCATTAGAGAACCGAATCATATGCCATCATTCTTAGATATAATGTTTGCATTAAAATGGGGTTAAACAAACAAACAAACAAACCATGAAGTCACTGTTGTTCATAACAAAATGTGAACAATCTATCAGTGTTATCTTTTGATATCTACCCGTGAAGATCCGGGTTAGAACATTGATCTTCAGTAACCCATGCTTGTCGTAAGGGGCGACTAATGGGATTGGGTGGTCAGGCTTGCTGGCTTGGTTGACACATGCCATGGGTTCCCAATTGTGCAGATCGATGCTCATGCTCTTGATCACTGGATTGTCTGGTCCAGACTCCATTATTTACAGACAGACGCCATATAGCTGGAATATTGCTTACTGCGGCGTAACACTAAACTCACTCACTCTTTTGATATCTGATGTTAGAACTTGTTCATTCACTTTCTGTGCAGACTCTTTCAGTGTTGTCACAACCCCCAGTGTCCAGTACACAACCCTGTGCACTTAAAAGAACCCACGAATCTGTGTGTATATGACCAGATGGTGGCCACATGAATACGTGCAAACACCCAGTTGCGGGTACAGCAACGTGCAGTAAACATGGACAAAGTGCTGTGACTATTCGTCCCAGTCCACCCAGCTGTGAATGGGTACCTTGTTAGGATGAGAAACCACAATAACTCGGTGCGCCTAGGGGCTGCAAGAGTTGTATGCTCCCTAGTGAGTTGAGAGTGACAATACGATGTGCCATTTGAGTTTGACATCCAGTGATGGGGGAAATCAAAGTGCCTTTAAGCAGCTGAGCAGGATATTGGCACTATACAAATGTTAGTATAATAAAGTACCAGAATTTTTCAACCTCTACATTGAATTTTAGATCCTAAATGTTGCAAACTAACTAATAAATAACAGAAATAGATAAATAATAATAAATAATAATAATGCTAATTTTTGCGCCTAGAATCAAACACGATGTTTCTCTCTGGCGTTACATTATTACCCTGACGGAATTGTACTTTCAAAAGCTGCTACTAAGAGCTAAGCGCGACCGTATAGGTCCGTACATCTGCTTTTCAGGTACCCATTTTGAACAGCTGGGTGGACTGAGTGCAATGTGGACGAAGTGCCTTGCCCAGGGACACAACACGGTATGAGACCCAGGTCACAAATGTTGGTGTCTCCACCGGGATTCGAACCCGGGCCTTCGGTGTGAGAGGCCAGCAAGCTAACCACTACACCACCGTGCTCCATAAATATTCAAAATGGAATGATATATGTACTGTTCTCAACAATGAAGCAATATAACTTCACGTGCTGAAACTGACCAATCAGCTTTGAGTATCACCATGATGTTCATAATGACATATGTTAATATAGGAAAGTTATCACACTTGATCGTTTTCTCCCATGTATAACACATGTAGAGGACGTTAGTGACGGATGTCTCAGAGGGAGACAGGACAATCAGGTGTATCTCCCTGTTCTGATTTCAGGGTCACACTTCGAGGAATGTGACTCCAGTGTTGAAACTGAGGGTGTCTGGCTGTGCTAAAAGAGATGTTGACGCCAAGATATGTGAGTTATCATCAGCAACACACACTCTAAAACACCTAACAATAACAATACACTCTTCCGTGACAGGGGCGGTGGGGTAGCCTAGTGGTTAAAGCGTTCCCTCGTCACACCGAAGACCCGGGTTCGATTCCCCACATGGGTACAATGTGTGAAGCCCATTTCTGGTGTCCCCCGTCGTGATATTGCTGGAATATTGCTAAAAAGTGGCGTAAAACCATACTCACTCACTCACTCACTTTTCCGTGACAGACATGAATACATGTACTTAATACTGCTGCAAATATTTCCTGTACATAAGGCAGATTAAGCCTTCAGCATAATGACAAAATGGAATAAGAAATCCCAGTATGACATCTGGCAATGATGAAATATGCAAGTATGGTTATATACTTGTGGAGTCAACGATATTCTCATTCCCTATACTGATTGTGTCCTCTCTACTATTTATACTATTGCAGCTTCAATCGTGACAGTGTGGCGACCTAAGCTGGAGTGGCTCCACCTGGTGGAGGGGAAGAGATACAAAATTTACGGTCTCGTCGCTTCCTCTGCCAAGTAAGTTCAGACGTCTTATATTGTTGCAAACTGTCCCCCCATGTATATTAATGTCATACTCAGCCATATTTAAGCTGTATGACCACAGCCTGTGAATAGTCCAGTCTGGACCAGGCAATCCAGTGATCAGTTTTTGGAATGATAATTCAAGCCTGAATGTGCAATGTGGCATAATTTTCTTTATATATTAGGGACCGTTCATAATTTATGCTTAGGGGGTTGATGATGATTTAGGGAGGGTCACCCATTTTGTTCTGAGGAGGCAGGGGGTCAGCAATTTTGTACACATGTACTAGGGGGGTCATCAATTTTGTACACAGAAATGTTAAAAGAATCATGCTTAAATATTATGGGAAGGTAGGGGGGTCATTGATTTTGTACATGGCATGCAGGGCAGGGTCACTTACTTTGTACATAAATTTTAGGGGGGGGTGGGGGTGTCATTCACATTGTACATGATTCCCCATGAAAATCATCATCACCCCACCCACCCCAGCCATAAATTATGAACGGTCCTTAAGTGTAAGTATATGGTCAAGCTGATGTTACTAGATCATAGAAATTTTTGAAATGATATAACTATTCAATGAAAACAGCAGTTGCTTGAGAGACAATTTGTGTGTAGGACCCGCCTGGACAGTCACAGTGTACACCTGACAGCTAACAGACAGACCAAGCTACAGCCACGCCCTGTTGATGAGAACTACCTTGACCTTGTGTACGATCAAAGGGAGGTAAGTCAGTACCATAATTTTAAAGGGCATAGAACCAACATGTATGAGGATTAGGATATCATCACATGACCGGATTAGAGTGAGACCTTGTGATGTCAGGCCATGTTACTCCATAACCCTGAGTTGTTGACAATTGTGTAGATACACAACCAAAGGAATATTAATGTTGTTACCAATGATTCCATAATGAAGAAATTCCTGATGGAGAAAAATGAATCTGGACAGTATGGAACTGTCAGGATTAAGGATGCTTCACTGTATGTATGTATTTATCTGCATCTGCTCATATTGTTACAACCTTATGTGTTTACTTTGTAGGCTTATATTTTGCTGATAACAGCCCCTGTCGAAAGGAAAAGCCTTTAAAATATTGTAACTTCTCTGGATTTAAGTGAGAGAGGGAGTGAGTTGGGATTTAACACCAGTTTAAAAATTATTCCAGTGATGATATGAGTCAGCTTGATGTGGAAGGAAGCACATAGAGGAGGAAAGTGATGCATGTGTGAAGCATCTGCTACTGTTATGAAACCCATGGGCTGGGGTATGCTGCTGTTAAAGCTAGAATCATAATCCTGGCAAAGAGGGATTCAAGTGCATGATCATAGGGTACTGCCAAGGGCTGCAACTCTGGTTGTTTTGTTGTTTAACACCACTCAGCAATATTCCAGCTAGATGGCGGCAGTCTGTAAATAATCGAATCTGGACCAGACAATCCAGTGATCAACAGCTTGAGCAATGACCTACCAATTTGGGAAATGATGACATGTGTCAATCAAGTCAGCGAGCCTGACCACCCAATCCCTCTTATGACAAGCATGGGTTGCTGAAGACCAAGTCTAACCTGGATCTCGTCACAACTCTGAGCCTTAGAGGACATGGTAGCACAGGTGCTAAATCCAGGTAACTGCTCCCACTGCACAGGCCTGGCAATCATCTGTCAGTTGTATGTGTAGCATACAGCTTGTAGGAACAATGACATCTGACATAACGTCAACACAAACAGAAGGATGACACTGATTTGTGGACCCAGATCGAAGCTAATTGATTACTCAAGAGCCTGTCACTTGTGGTAGGAACTAGAACAAGTCTGACCTCTTACAACTCAGCTGCAACTATATACTATTCACACTTTGTTAAGGATCAAATCATGGATTCAACAGAAACCTATTATGTGGGGTCAAATTTGGTTTAAATACCTAAGCTTAATGTAAGCATGGATCCTAGGTTTCAGTATGTGATTGCATCTTGTGGATCCCATACCTGCTATTGACATGTGTTGTTTACTTGTTCCGTGATTTGCAAAATGGTTGATTGGCGCCATGAAAACCATTTATATGGTTACTTATGTATCAAGTGCATAAGGTTAGCTTTAAGTGGCTGTTTGCCTAAAGAGGGGTTACCATATTATTATTAATACAATTTTAAATGGATACAATTTCAAATTATAAATGTATGTTTAAGTTAAGTTGTGAATTTTTGTGATCCTTAGCAAAGTGTGAGTAGTATAGTTGTATGTGATTAGGGTGAATGATGTTTTGACTGTGTTGCATGCTACAAGTCGTGCCATGTGAATCCATCTGTAGCTCTTAGGACAAGACTCGTTTAGCTTTCTACTATCAGCTGAAATAATTCATGTTTCAGGTGTGGAGAGTGAAAGACCTCCGTTCACGATCTCCACCATTTAAGGAGTTTGACTTTGTAGGAATGGTCATCACGTCAAAGAGCAGCAGGTGAAAACTAAAACTTACATCATAATGCAAGACTCAATAATTGCATTTTACCAAACTGTATATTATGTGGGTTTGTGTGTTCAACACCATACTCAGCAGTATTCCAGCTATATGATGGTTGTCTGTAAACAATCTGGTCTGGACCAGTAAATCCAGTGACTGACATTGCGAATACTGATCACCATCAACCATGTCTGCAAGCCCAACCACTCAATCATGTTAGTCAAATCTTATCAACAGGATGGGTTGCTGAATACCAATTCTAACTCAGATGTTCATGTCATGAATGCTTGGGAGAAAGTATTTACATCAGTACCCAATATTCATTTGGATTTTATACATTTCCAATAGTACCAGTTATTCGACTCTTACTATATGACTGAACTTGTCGCAACCAAAGGTTACTATACTGCCAAGCAAAAGAAACGCAATTCAAGAAATTAAAACAATTGTGTTAAAGTATCAAATCCAAACTCATGCTGAAAAAGTATAATTTTCATGAATTCTGAGTTGCGTTTTTATTGCTGGTCAGTGTATATTGCAAACAGTGAAACAGTTGTAGTTGGTCTAAAACTGTAATTTACAAAAGAAAGTCGTCTCACAAGAAACCTTCGGCCTACTGTATTTCAGCCAACGGAGCTGTGACACAGTCTACGTCTCAGATATTGATGGGGAGATCCTGAGTATACGTTTCTGGACAGGACTACAGGTGAGGTCACGGTGAGGCATCATGCTGGAGGAGTGGGCTGATATGTTCCAGCTCTGCTAGGACAACCTGTATTAACATGCTAGCAGAAGTTGTTATCTATAAGCGTTATCTATGGACTAAGCGTTACTTGTGTTTGAGTGTGGACCTAAAAGCGTTACTTGTGTTTGAGTGTGGACCAAAGCGTTACTTGTGTTTGAGTGTGGACCAAAGCGTTACTTGTGTTTGAGTGTGGACCAAACGTTACTTGTGTTTGAGTGTGGACCAAACGTTACTTGTGTTTGAGTGTGGACCAAGCGTTACTTGTGTTTGAGTGTGGACCAAGCGTTACTTGTGTTTGAGTGTGGACCAAGCGTTACTTGTGTTTGAGTGTGGACCAAACCAGTGGTGGAAGGCATGAGCATCGTCCCTCATCTTCATGTTACCTTGGGGGCGGTGGGGTAGCCTAATGGTTAAAGCGTTCGCTCGTCACGCCGATGACCCGGGTTCGAATCCCCACATGGGTACAATGTGTGAAGCCCATTTCTGGTGTCCCCCGCCGTGATATTGCTGGAATATTGCTAAAAGCAGCGTAAAACCAAACTCAGTCAGTCAGTCAGTCATGTTGCCTTGACTGACCGTCACAGAGCCAGATCATGTCCATCTCATCAAATGCAGATATTTGACTTATACACCATCCTCTCTGCATGAAAACTGCACGTTCTATTTCTGTGTCCGAAAATCGGGTAAGTGGGGAAAATAGGCAGTTCCAGTATATTGTTGTGGATGTTTTGTGGATGGTAGCACATTCATTGGTACAGTACATTGGTATGTAAGAGAAATGGTATGGAACACCTCACCTCCAAATCCATTCGGCTGACATTTATTTACCAGCGCCTTGAGCATGCACTAGTGCGTGGATATGTGCACTATATAAATATCCAATAATAATAATAATAATTTGCCCAGAAATACTATTCAAAGAGAAACTCACTCAGCTGTTACTTTTGTTAACCTGTGTTGACAGAGTTTCGGCCTGGAGGATCACTTGGTGGCTGGGAAGAGTATCGTCGCCACCAACCTCATCCTGAAGTGGTCCCGTGGTTCTGGTCCCGTCTCTGCCGACGCCTGCAGCGAGGTGACACGCTTATCTTCCACAACCAAGATGCCTGACCACAGGAAATGTCTGGCCAGGTTCTCCAGCTTCAAGCAGGTACAAGAAGTCACTCAAACCAACTTGAGATGAGTACTGAACATGAGGATTGGTGGGGTAGTCTGGAGGTTAAGGTGTTTGCTCCTAATTCCCATAGAGGGTACAAACCACGTGATTCTTCCTGGTTTGCTGGCAGACTTCTTAAAGCAACATTAGACCATACTCATTCACTGACTTTGTAAATTCTGAGTCATATCTTACATATTTAAAATATGTTTCAAGGGTGGTGGGGTAGCCCAGTGGTTAAAGCGTTTACTCATCATGCCAAAGACCCATGTTTGATTCCCCACATGGGTACAATGTGTGAAGCCCATTTCTGGTGTCCCCCACCGTGATGTTGCTGGAATATTGCTTAAAGCGGCGTAAAACCATATTCAGTCAGTCAGTTTAAAATGGTTCCACTGAGTACGATGAGGTAATAGTTTGTGTTTTTCATGATCGTATGACACATAAGGAACAGTTCCCATTTTATTTTGAATCAATATTTACTCCTGAGATTTTTAAAACAGTGTTTAAACAGATGGAACAACCGCCAACATCTATGATAATTCAAATGTCTGTGATGCTAGTCAAATGTACACTTAGAAAATCAGAAATTAAAATTTATACTTGCAGATATTTTTGGTATTTTTAATTACTTTTTCATAGTGAGGAAACAAAAAATAGAATTCAAATTGAACATGTATATCTTTTCTAACCGAGACTCCATTGCCTTTTGCAGACAGCAGCACCAGCCTAACATTCAAAGGGCATGATATTATTTGTTTGACACACCAAGGACCCAAATTTTCCTTCCCCACATGGGAATGTGTTCAGCTCTTTCCTTGTGTATGAAAGTTCTTTTGGCAGGAATATTGTTAAAAGTGGTAGAAAAACTACCTCATTAACTCGGTCCTCATTACCGTCTTTCATGGTTACATTCATGGTTCTGCTCACATTTCAGGTAGAGAAAAACAAATTCCTTGCCGCTGCCAGGGAGCGACTTAGTAAACATGAGAGGAAGGCACAGGCTCCTCAAACACAACTAGCAACTCCTGAGGTGGGTATCCATAGCAACCGGTCTTCATTTGATTCAACTGTGTAACAAACTTTTCAATATCATGGGTATGATACTTAATTATGGAAAAGAACTGAAATCTATCAAACTAAGGTGACACTTTTGTCAATTTGTTGATGCATTTGTATGCCTTTGTATGGTTTCACTGTGAGGATTTTAGTGCTTACAGATATTTTAAGACAAACCATGAACAGGAGAACCGGGTTTTGATTCCACACATGGGCACAATGTGGGCTAGCCCATTTCTGGTGTTTCCTGCTCTGATATTGCTGGAATATTACTTTAAGCAGCATACAACTAAACTCGCTCACTACGTGGGGAATGGAGGAGGCCCAACTGTCGCTATAAGCAAACATCACTGCTTCACCCCACAATCATGATAGATGTAGAAATACAACAAAGCAATATACTGCAAGGCATACTGCAATAAATTTGGAGTTAAATATATTTTTTGAAGTCGTTTACACAGATTATACATGCAGGCCATTTTCTCTACAAACTGAAGTAAATATTACGCGGCATGGCCAGGCATCACAGATACAGGGGAGACAACATGAGAGAAGAATTACTTCCACCATTTTTGTCCATCAGTTTCGAACAAAAACTTGTGCATGAATTTTTGGGTAAATTTTTTGCAAAGTGAATATATTAGTAAACAAACCTCTTTTTTCCGATACATGTTTGTACTGGAACACACAAAGAATATTGCAGTTTGAAATGTTTGAAAAGCATATCACAATCCAATTAGTAGGTGACATATTCTGAATGCAGTCACCAAACACTCACTCATATTTGTTTTCACAGAAGTATTTCTCTGACCTTCCCTCTGAGTGCCTCCAGAAACTCTTCTCTCCAATGGAAGACCAGGGAGAAAAACTCTCAAAGGGGGATAACTCTGCAACACCAGATCCTGTTGTGAAGAAAAGACGGTCGATTCTCCGAGAGAAGTCCGCCAAACTGATGGCCTATGGTTCTCCGCATCCCCTCTCAACCATCAGCTGTCCAGTATCACCTGCTCTGGCCAGGGCTTTCAAACTGCCGTCAGGACTTGCCAAAAATATGAAGGATTCCTTCAAGTGATGCGTGTTTCTGTTCCATACAGTGATCTTACTATGAACACAATCATAATGATTTACACAGACTTACGTTAGTACCAAGATCGTTTTATGGAACAGTTTCCTTGGAAACCAAAGAACGAATTCTTTATCTACAATTACTCCTGTGTTAGTTATAAACCAAAGATTGTTCCAAAGATGTGTGGGGTGGAGGGGTAGCCTAGTGGTTTAAAGCGTTAGATTGTCACGCCAAAGACCTGGGTTCGATTCCCCACATGGGTACAATGTGTGAAGCCCATTCCTGGTGTCCCTCATCGTGATATTGCTGGAATATTGCTCTAAGTGATGTAAAACCATACTCACTCCAAAGATGTGTGAAGACCTGGGTGCCATTATACGAAACAACCTTCGTATTGGGACTGGTGTAAATCTATGTTGCAGTGACAGTAACAACCATCATTTTGTACAAAGGCACCCTGAAGATTGTCATGAACACACAAATGATCAGCTATGTACTTTGTTGTTGCTTGTGAATGAAGTATTATTGACAAAATGTAGAGAAATCTTGATGACTGAACATTTATCATGTGTTGTAAATTTGTGTTGAGGCGTTTATCTGTAATTCCTCAGAGCACAGTCAATGAAGCTCCTGATAATGAGGGTTCTGGGGAATCGATAACTTCATTTATACCTGAAAATGTCCAACTTCACTTATCAAAATTAAAAGCTTGTCCAATAGTAAGAAATATGTAGTCCTAGGAATCAAAATTATTCTTGCAAGGTCCTTTTTCTTATGTTATGATAATAAGTAAAGGCAGTCTGCCTTTTCTGTAGGAAAGTAGTATAGGTTGACAAAACTGTAGCAAGCACCTGTTGAATCTTGACCATCTGAATGTTACTTTTGTTTGTTCCATGTTACAAAGATTACAAACTTTAATACTGTTGAAAATAAATATTTTATTTGTTGCAGATGTTGAGTATTTACAAGCATTAATCATCCCTGAGAGGTCATAATAGGTGGAATCTTTGTTTCATCTCAGGAGACATACAAAATATACATTAGTAATATGTCAGTGTAAAACTGTTCCTGCTGAGCATATTCCTGAATGATCATACAAGATAACTTCAAATATTCTTGTACCATCTGACAATTATATTTCCACTTTTGAGCTGCAATATTACATGTCTGTAATCAACCAAGTCGGGGCCAGATAATCCAGTGATTGACATGAGCATTGATCTGCACAACTGGGATAGAATGAGATGCATCAAACAAGTCAGCTTGTCTGACCACCAGTCTCATTAGTTGCTCTTACAAACATGGTTTCCTGAAGACCAATTCTAAGATGAATCTTCACTGGTAGTTTGAGTCGAAGTAATACTGGTGAGATTCTAATGCAAAAACAAAAACTAAATCACTTCTGAACACATAACATTGACATAGCAGTCATGTTTAACCCACCTTACAGCCTCACATTACATTATAAATATTGGTTGTCATTTGAAGAAAGTAAACATGACATTAAATGTAACAAGTACATATATTACATGTTTACTGACCATGAGTGGAATATGAGTTATGTCACTTGGATGCATGAAAACAAAAACAGAAAAGAAATTACATTCATGTTTCACAGACATCAGCCATGTTCGATGAGATCTGTGTACTGCATTCTGTGAACATACAGATAATCCTTCATGAGAACCATCCAAATTTGCATTATGATGCCTCCTCTTCCACAGTGACACATTCAGCACTACAAGAGGTGTGAGTGTTCAGCTGTCACTCACGTGACACATTCCACACTAGAGGTGGGTAACCCCACGAAGGTCCGGGGTTAGAATATTGATCTTCAGTAACCCATGCTTGTCGTAAGAGGCGACTAGCGGGATCGGGTTGCCACATGTCATCGGTTCTCAATAGGGCAGATCGATGCTCTTGCTGTTGATCACTGGATTGTCTGGTCCAGACTTGATTATTTACAGACCACCGCCATATAGCTGGAATATTGCTGAGTGCGGCGTAAAACTAAACTCACTGGTCTAAAGCTGTAATTCACAATAGAAACTTGTTGTATCGCAAGAAACCTCGGGCCTACTGTGTTTCAGCCAAGGGAGCTGTGACACAGTGTACGTCCCGGATATTGACGGGGAGAGATCCTGAGTATACACCATATAGCTGGAATATTGCTGAGTGTGGTGTAAAACTAAAACTCACTCACTACAGGTGAGTGTGTTCAGCTGTTACACACGTGACACATTCAGCACTAGAGGTGGGTGTGGCTGTACGGTCAGGTATCTCACTCTTCTGTATTTATAGCCAGGAACTTTGTCAAACTTGAAGTTGTTCAGTAAGGTAACGAGAATTGCCTTGGCTTCTGTCATGGCAAAGCGGTGCCCAATACACATGTAAGGGCCCGCAGTAAATGGCTGGAATTTGTATGGGTTGACCTCCTGGAGGAAGCGCTCAGGTCGGAAGGTTTCCGGATCCTCCCAGTTCTCAGGGTGTCTGCAGATGATGAATGAAAATAATTTTCAAAGTCAAATGAACAATTATAACACACCTTTTGTTTTAGCAGTACAATTCAGATCTTGCATACACATACTGGGATGAAGTAGCCTCCCAGAATCACTTCTTGCCTGGCGGAACACAGCAGATGCTGGTTGATACAGTCTTGCATACACATACATATGGTTTAATTTATATACTGCTCACAATAAGTTAAAGAACATCCTCTGTATAACCCACCGTATTACTGCCATGCCAAGACAGACAATTCAAGCCTGGCCGCTATCTACACATCAGCATGTCATCAGTCACGGGTGCATGCCAAATGAGGCACCAGATGGAGACCCCTGGTTTCAACACTCACCTGTTCAGACCCCAATTATGATGCCAAATATGGTACTGGTGGGGACAGCGGGTGTCATCACTCACCTGTGGAGGCCCCCAATACCGATGTCAAATATGGTATTGGATGGAGACCCCTAGTGCAGGCCCCCAATACCGATGCCAACGATGGTCCCAGGAGATCCCAGGTATCACCACTCACCTGTGCAGGCCCCCAATACCAATGCCAACGATGGTCCCAGGAGACCCCAGGTATATCCACTCACCTGTGCAGGCCCTGGAAGGAGACCCAATACCGATCACCAACCGATCCAATACCCCAGCTGGGAGAAGTAGCCTCACCCAGGTTGTCATCACTTCTTGCACCTGTGCAGGAACACAGCAGATGCTGGTGGATACAATCTGTGCAGGTGAAGACAACGATGGTCCCAGCTGGGGCTACATCAGGTTGTCATCACTCTACATCACCACAAGAAGTCATGTTTGGGGGCTTATACAGCTATGTTTGGGGCTTATACAGCTATGTGTCTCTGCACACTAACCGTTATGGATATTGGGAACTTTTTATAGATCCATGACCCCTGACTGCAGACTGGGACTTGCTGACTTTTACAAACAACATCATGCAGCTTTAATACTGCAGAAACAAACGCATACTCTTGACGACCGCCTCCGTGGTGTAGTGGTTAGAGCGTCCGCCCGGAGAGCGGAAGGTCGGGGGTTCGATCCCCGACTGCGTCATACCAAAAGACGTTAAAATATGGTACTTGTTGGTCCCTGCCTGGCGTTCGGCATTAATGGGTACAACAAGGACTGGTCGGCTCGGAGTCAGTATAATGTGTCTGAGTGGGGTATCCATGCTTCACTGCGGCATGGTATCTCAGTGGGCTAGCACTATTAAACCAGCTTCAGTCTGGGCTAGTACAAGCAGCCGCACATACACATACACACGCATGCACGTCGTCATATGAGCAAAATATTCTCAAGCACGACGTAAAAACCCAATTTAACCTAACCTCGCCTCACATACTCTTGACATAGTCACAATTCTACCATCAAGTCTGCCTTTAGCCGAGATTTCTTATGGATGTGGAATGTGTTTAGTCACTTCTATTTTCTTTAAACTGTTGAATGAGAACAATGAACCACCTTTGTCAGGACCCTGCTAGTGTGAAAAACACTTGCATTCCACACAATTTGTGGAACCAGAAATCAATTTACAAAAATGGTCCAATTTAATTTACAATGTTTACAGTAAGATATTGTGAACAGTTGTATTTATATCACTGAGCTTGGTCAAAACAAATGACAGACCAATCAGTCATACTGTTTGTATGAATAAATAGAGAATACTTTCATCAACGAGTGTTGATATGTTTGATATCAATAGACACTCGGGTGAGATTTTACTTATCATAAAAAATCACTCTTCATTAGTTTTCAATGAAAAATGTACATCTCTGAACACAGTACTGCCATTAGATTTGCAGTGTAGCAATTTCATAGCATTGTGACGTCCTCAAGTTCATGACGTCATAGCATTGTCAGGGCATTGTGCAAAATCTACTGTCAAAATGATATCTCCTAGGAGATATCGTCTTATCCCACACAAGCGATATCTCCTGTGGAACACAGTTTTGGATGATAAACATTCGTATCAAGTTCCCTGCTTCAAAAAGTGGCCTTAATAAATATATATACTGAAAGGCAAAAGAAATGTAATAATATTGGAAATGATTTTTAAATATCAATGGAGTATTTGAGCCTATTTTTATTAAAGGTCACATAAACCCTAGGGGGTACAAATACATAAATCACTAACTGGCATCGTTATAAATGAAACCCCGTCATTAAAACTACTCATTTCGACCTTTAATTGACTTAAATCGACCTTTTTGACAACAGTGCACAATTCTAACCCGCGAACGAAATTTCAACCAATCAGAGCGGCGCGCATCTGTGGCGTCATATGAGGAATAGCTTTGAGGGGCCCGATGCAGAATTCATCTACATTTTAGGGGTTATGGTCCCAGAAGGAGACCCCAGGTGTCACCACTCACCTGTGCAGGCCTCCAATACCGTTGTCAACAATGGTCCCAGATGGAGACTCCAGGTATCACCACTCACCTGTGTAGGCCTCCAATACAGTTGTCAACAATGGTCCCAGAAGGAGACTCCAGGTATCACCACTCACCTATGCAGGCCCCCAATACCGATGCCAACGATGGTCCCAGAAGGAGACTCCAGGTATCACCACTCACCTGTGCAGGCCCCCAATACCGTTGTCAACAATGGTCCCAGATGGAGACTCCAGGTATCACCACTCACCTGTGTAGGCCTCCAATACAGTTGTCAACAATGGTCCCAGAAGGAGACTCCAGGTATCACCACTCACCTATGCAGGCCCCCAATACCGATGCCAACGATGGTCCCAGAAGGAGACTCCAGGTATCACCACTCACCTGTGCAGGCCCCCAATACCGATGGTCCCAGAAGGAGACCCCAGGTGTCACCACTCACCTGTGCAGGCCTCCAATACCGTTGCCAACAATGGTCCCAGAAGGAGACTCCAGGTATCACCAATCACCTGTGCAGGCCCCCAATACCGATGCCAACGATGGTCCCAGAAGGAGACCCCAGGTATCACCACTCACCTGTGCAGGCCTCCAATACCAATGCCAACGATGGTCCCAGAAGGAGACTCCAGGTATCACCACTCACCTGTGCAGGCCTCCAATACCGATGCCAACGATGGTCCCAGCTGGGATGAAGTAGCCTCCCAGGTTGTCATCACTTCTTGCCCGGCGGAACACAGCAGATGCTGGTGGATACAATCTGGCGGTGAAGACAACACGGCTACATCACCATCACTCTACATCACCAAAAGTCATGTTTAGGGGCTTATGCAGGTATGTCTCTCTGCACACTAACCGTTATGGATATTGGGAACTCTTTATAGATACATGACCCTGACTGCAGCAACACTGGGACGTGCTAACCGCCTCCGTGGTTGTAGTGGGTACAAACAACAGGTTCGATCATGCAGCAAAAAGAGCGTTAAAATATGGTGCAGAAACAAACAAGGACTGGTCGACACACTCTTGACATGCTTCACTGCGGCATGGTAGTCACACCAGCTTCAGCCTCGGCTAGTACTACCAAATCAAGTCTGCTTTCTAGTCGTAAAAAGATTTTTCATACCATACTCTTCACATAGTCACAATTCTACCATGTCTGCTTTTAGCCAAGATTTCTTATGGATGTGGAATGTGTTTAGTCACTTCTAAACTGTAGAATGAGTACAATGAACCACCTTTGTCAGGACCCTGCTAGTGTGAAAAACCCTCGCATTCCACATAATCTGTGGTACCAAAAATCGGTTTACAAAAATGGTACCATTTTACTTTACCATGTTCACAGTAAGATATTGCAAACAGTTGTATTTATAGCACTGAGTTTGGTCAAAACAAAATGATAGACCAATCATTCAAACTTTGGTGTGAATAATCATCAGTCCCCTGCTCCTATAAGTGGACCTGATCAATATATACACACAATTTTAATGAACACACCTGTGCAAGGGAGACAGTTTAGTAGCAGACTACGTTTTATGGACAGTTTTTACAGAAAGTATAATCATGATATAGATTACCGTATATTACCGTCTATAACCGACCCCATAGATAAACCGACCCCCAAACTTGACCCTTAAAATCAGTGTCAAAATGGTCAGTGTCAATCCTCGCTGATGGGGAAGCAAAACACAGACCACGGACAACTGGCAACCAATAATTATAACTTTGGTACACATTATTCCAAGAATCCACAATCATATTGCGTCTACTTACGCATCGATATGAAGTGTAGTTGACAGAAAATGGATAATATATTTTGTTTCGCTAAATATCATACTTATTGTAGCGATCACATGTCAACAAACTGGCTTACTTTTTACCCCATTCACACAATCGCGGGCTGATTACCGCCTCGTTTTCCATGGACTTCTAGTTTACAGTAACATTGGTAAAAATGTGTGAATTTAAATGGCTTCCTTATTTTACCCCATTCCATGTGCATACAATTTCTGCTTACCACATTCATGAGGGTCCGTATAACTTTGGTGATTATATATATTTTACATTTATAGAGCAAAAACTGTAATCAACATTACACAATGCTAGGACATATTTCTTTGGGTTAAATAATAGTATTCTGTATTATATTTTACTGATGACTGCCTTAGAATTCATCCCGTTATATTATTAACAAATATTGTGCATGTTTGGACTTGATCACCAAGAAACGTGTGCACAGCTGATTGCTATTTCCAGCTCATATACACATGGTAATCTAAATCTTAATTAATTTATAGAGAAAAAAATATAAATTAAATTACACAATGCTAGGATACATTTCTTTGGGTTAAATAATAGTATTCTATATTATATTTTACTGATAACTTCGTCAGAATTCACCCCATTATATTATTGTGCATGTTTGAAGTTGATCGCCTGGAAACTTGTGCACAGCTGATTGCTACTCCTGGCTCAAATACACACGGTAATCTTAATCCTTGCAAATAATACAATGCCCAGCAAAAACAACTTAGAACTTAAAAGGTAAATAATCTTGTCTAGTGATGTTTAATTGCAAATTTGACGTCTTTACTGACAAAGTCGTCTTCTCTTGTTTGTTCATGCGAAGTGATATGATGTTTTCTTACCCCTGGAAAAAAGTTTGACGAAAGCCTAACTCACAGGTAAGCCAACCCCCTTCAACTTCACCGATATTTTAAGTGAGTTTGTTCAAAAGAACTTGCTCTCTGAAAACAAATTAAACTTGCAAAATGTCCTAACATTAACAAGTGACTCCCTTTATCAATTTCAAATTTGGTTACTCCCAACTTGTCATACCAGTAGTTTACCAATAAAGGTCACCTCTTAAGATGAATATGTTATTTAAACCACAATAATTTCATTTTTGTTTGGAAAGTAGCCAGGGCTCTATGCTGCTCTCACCTGAGAGATTCCTTCACCACGCAGTTAAGGAAGGTCATCTTGTCAAGCATCTTGCTGGTCAGCTGACCGGAAGAGGGTTGAAGCAGGGACTGGATCTCTGACCGCAGCTTGTCCTGGACGGCAGGGTGCTCTCCCAGCAGCAACAGTGTCCACGTCAGCAAGGTGCTGGTGGTCTGTGAGAGAGGAAGAGAGTGTAAGTGGACAGTTGGAACTCCTGCGGCAGCAACAGTGTCCACGTCAGCAAGGTGCTGGTGGTCTGTGAGAGAGGAAGAGTGTGTAAGTGGACAGTTGGATCTCCTGCGGCAGCAACAGTGTCCACGTCAGCAAGGTGCTGGTGGTCTGTGAGAGAGGAAGAGTGTGTAAGTGGACAGTTGGAACTCCTGCAGCAGCAACAGTGTCCACGTCAGCAAGGTGCTGGTGGTCTGTGAGAGAGGAAGAGTGTAAGTGGACAGTTGGAACTCCTGCGGCAGCAACAGTTTCCACGTCAGCAAGGTGCTGGTGGTCTGTGAGAGAGGAAGAGTGTAAGTGGACAGTTGGAACTCCTGCGGCAGCAACAGTCAATCCCAAGGTGCGTCAGCAAGGTGCTGGTGGTCGGTTGAGAGAGGAAGAGTGTGTAAGTGGACGGTTGGAACTGCCGTGGAAGTGGACAGTTGGAACTCCTGCGGCAGCAACAGTTTCCACGTCAGCAAGGTGCTGGTGGTCTGTGAGAGAGGAAGAGTGTAAGTGGACAGTTGGAACTCCTGCGGCAGCACCTCAAACACAGCGTCCACATCAGCAGGCTGCTTGTAGTTCATGCGAGAGAAGAAAAGTGTGAATGTGGAAGCTGGATTTCCTCCAGCAGTATCAACGTCCATGTCAGCAAGGTGCTGGAAGTTTATGTGAGAGAGGAAAAGTGGATTGCTGTAACAACAGCAACATCATCCACATCAGCAGGGTGATGTGGTCTGAGGAAGGGAATGAGTGAGTGAGTTTAGTTTTGCGCTTCACTCAGCAATATTCCTGCTATATGGCGGCGGTGTGTAAATAATCGAGCCTGAACCAAACAATCCAGTGATCAACAGCAGGACCATCGATCTGCACAATTGGGAACTGATGACACGTGTCAACCAAGCCAACAACCTGACCACCCAATCCCATTAGTCGCCTCTTATGACAAGCATGGGTTACTGAAGGTTCATTCTAATCCGGACCTTCACGGGTCCTGAGGAAGAGAGGTACAGCGTAGAAGTGGACAGCTGCAACTCCACCACCACCACCACCAGCATCCAGGTCAGCAAGGTGCTGACAGTGTCTGGGAGAGGGTTACAGTAGGGGAGTGGACAGCTCCAGCAGCTGGTGTCTACAGTAGTAGATGTCACACCTTGGCAGTCTGAACTCACCTCAAATCCAGCAAACAGGAACCCAGCAATCTGATCAAAGATCACTTTGTCCTGGAGAGAGTTGCCGTCCTCATCCTTTGCCTGGAACAGAATGGACAGCAGGTCTCCCTTATGTTCCACTCCTGAAACACAGGAACACAGGCTGTCCAACATCAGCGACAAATGACAGTGTTCTACAAAAAGACAAAGATTAACCACGGTAATCTTAGCCTCTACAGCTAGACACACAACTGTAACCAAGGTTTACCTGCCCTCTACTAACAGAAGTACAAAAAAGAAAATCAAGGTTCTCCAAACCTCTAAAAAACAGAAGATGATAAACAAAGACCCATAACAATATGCAACCAAAAACATTGCCATATACATTCTGTCACCACTGATCAAATAATTACAATCATTAAATGTGAGATACATTTTCGTTTTTTTAAAGAACACAGCACAGAAGAAGGATAAAGAAGTTCTTGAAGAAGATGGACAAGGCAGTTGTTGACAAAAGATGAATAAAGCAGTTGTTGAAGATCAACAAGGCAGTTGTTGAAGGTAAAGTGCTCACCCTGCCCCAGCTGTGTGTTCTCCAGCTGGTTCCGCTTCTTGCTGACCATGTTTGTGATGGCCGACACAAATGTCTTGTTGTCCTGCCACAGCTGACGGTTCTCCTTGGTTGGAAGTGAACGGAAGAATGGAATCATCTGCATCAGTCTGCAATGTTATGAATGACAGAAAATATATGAATTAACCACAGCGTTATCACAAGTAATGGTTAAGGGGTTTTGAAGGTACATTGTATATTGCTGTCTTCTCTGCACACCAAAAATGTCAGGTATTGGGACTCCTTTAAACATCATTTTACATCACTCTATCATCTTTATGAAACTATGCAGGTAGGATCCCTGACTGAAAGCCTAGTATGTAGGGGTCATATACATATATATGTGAGAAATTATATGAATTTTTGGCAGCATACAACAAAAAGTAAACATTCTTCAAACTCGTACAAACGTGTAGAGGTTTCTGATTCTTTGAAGAAAGTCCTCCTTGGGGTACATATAAGCATTTAAATGTCCATTTTAAATCCTACAACAGTTGTAACTATATTTAAATAAAAATATTTACAAAACAAAAAACTCGTATTTGTCTTGTGAGACCACCCCTACAGGACCCCGCAAGGGCCCCCTACAGCCAAGAGCAGGTAACTCTGTCTGTTTATCTCGTACCTCACTTTTCATGCTGAACGAATCAGACAGAATGAGGGGAGGTGGGCTGCCGTATCCCAACGAGGACTTTCTTCAAAGAATCAGAAACCTCTACTGGTTTGTACGATTCTTTTTCAGAAGAAGTCCTCCTTGGGGTACATATAAGCATAATACAGACTCCCAAAGATTGTGAGTCAGGAGCGGTATTCTGTCTGGCAACACTAAACCTGTGGTGGAGTTAGATCTACGACCGAAATCAGAGATAGAGAAAACACACGTACCTAGTCACCTGACCGCTGATGTCAATCAGGCGGGGGCGTGGCTAGGGTGGGAAATAGAGAGCCTAGGCTTATATTTCGATTGGCTCAAATCTAGAAGGACATAAACCCCACCCCCAACCATTACAATGGAAAGGAATGTATGGGGACATGCCGAAACAACTCCCAACCTTAATAGCCCCAACCAGCGAAGCGTGGCGAAAGGCATAAGGGTAGGGAAAGCTTAAAAACTAATGGCTCGAATGCACCCCTTCTTTTTGGAAGAGGGCTTTGCCGGGACCTCGATAAATCCCAGAGAAATTATTAGCCTCGCTAAAAACTTTCTGAGGAAATCGAACGAGTACAAACGCCATTGTACGAGTGAAAAGCAGGATAAAACACCCCCACCAAACCCTCTCAGCGCAAGGAGGGTAAGTGTAAACCACCATCACCCAAAGTACTAACACTAACTCCCAAATACCGAAGTCTCGGGAAGAGGGAAAATTTGTTAGCGTATAAAAATCCCCTGAAGTAGCGAAAAGCGTATCCGAACATGTGTTGGCTCACTATTACGCTTACCTGGTCACGTGACATGTGGCTCGAAGAGAGGCATTCCAAACAGTGACCTGTTGGGGATTCGTACCCAATTCTGTCATAAGACGGGTTAATAGCATATGACTGGTTATAGTGTTCAAACCCTGCCCTGCCCTCTCTTGCCTTCAGGTGAAGAGGACGTAAGGGACGATTGTACACCCAAAGCCGACCTGACCCAACCCGGAAGGGTGTTAAGGCTGATACGATGTAGTGATAGCCCTACGGGGTCCTGTAGGGGTGGTCTCACAAGACAAATGTGAGTTTTTTGTTGCTACAACTGTCGTAGGATTTAAAATGGACATTTAAATGCTTATATGTACCCCAAGGAGGACTTCTTCTGAAAAAGAATAGCAATCTATTTGGTGATCTCCTAAAACCAACACAGGTTGCTGCAGGGGTCAACTGCAGCAATGAAATTCCATGGGGAACAACTGGGTTGGGATTTCCTGTAAGTCTTCGGAACATTGAACATCTAATAAATTAATTCTGTACAGACATTACTGATAGGGTGAGCATGAGTTCAATGGGTTTTTTTAAGTTTCTCTTTTGGGGTTCAGTATATATTGTGTACACAGTGAGGTAGGGTATGACAGTATTGCAGTTTGATTACAACTTGACGATCATATTCTAACATACTTGTACACACACAGAACATTCACCCTCCAGCTGAAACCCACAAATATATGGCGCTGACAAGCCAGTTATACTGAACCACTGTATCCAGGGGCAGGTACAATGATAAACATATTTCTCATCTTTGATAATACTCACTGACAGGATCAACATGATGTAAGTGACCTGATTCTACAACCCCCATTTCACTGATCTGTTACTACAGCCCTGATTTCACCAACCTGATTCTACAACCCCTATTTCACCGACCTGATTCTACTGCCCTGATTTCACCAACCTGATTCTACTGCCCTGATTTCACCGACCTGATTCTACTGCCCTGAAGTATTCTTCGGAAACTCTGGACTCCAGCAGCTGTAGGGTTCTCCACAGCATCCAGCTGGTAGTCAAACCCACACTCACAGATCAGGTCTAGAGTCTGAATAACATAGCAACCAGATATTGGGTTTACAACATGGATGCATGTCATACATGGGGACCAGTCATTGGGTTCACAACATGGATGCATGTCATACATGGGGACCAGTCACTGGGTTCACAACATGGATGCATGACAGACATAGGGACCAGCAATTGGGTTCACAACATGGATGCATGTCATACATGGGGACCAGTCATTGGGTTCACAACATGGATGCATGACAGACATAGGGACCAGTCATTAGGTTCACAACATGGATGCATGACAGACATAGCAACCAGATATTGGGTTCACAACATGGAAGCATGTCATACATGGGGACCAGTCATTGGGTTCACAACATGGAAGTATGTCATTGGGTTTACTGACTGACTGACTGACTGAGTTTAGTTTTACGCCGCTTTTAGCAATATTCCAGCAATATCACGGCGGGGCATTGGGTTTACAACATGGGTGCATGACAGACATAGGGACCAGCAATTGGGTTCACAACATGGATGCATGTCATACATGGGGACCAGTCATTGGGTTCACAACATAGAAGCATGTCATACACAGGACCAGTCATTGGGTTTATAACAAAGAAGCATGTCATACATGGGGACCAGTCATTGGGTTCACAACATAGAAGCATGTCATACATGGGGACCAGCAATTGGGTTCACAACATGGATGCATGTCATACATGGGGACCAGTCATTGGGTTCACAACATAGAAGCATGTCATACACGGGACCAGTCATTGGGTTTATAACAAAGAAGCATGTCATACATGGGGACCAGTCATTGGGTTCACAACATAGAAGCATGTCATACATGGGGACCAGTCATTGGGTTCACAACATGGAAGCATGTCATACATGGGGACCAGTCATTGGGTTCACAACATCGAAGCATGTCATACATGGGGACCAGTCATTGGGTTCACAACATGGAAGCATGTCATACATGGGGACCAGTCATTGGGTTCACAACATAGAAGCATGTCATACATGGGGACCAGTCATTGGGTTCACAACATGGAAGCATGTCATACATGGGGACCAGTCATTGGGTTCACAACATGGATGCATGACAGACATGGGGACCAGCCATTGGGTTCACAACATGAAGCACATACATGGGGACCAGTCATTGGGTTCACAACATGGAAGCATGTCATACATGGGGACCAGTCATTGGGTTCACAACATGGAAGCATGTCATACATGGGGACCAGTCATTGGGTTCACAACATGGAAGCATGTCATACATGGGGACCAGCCATTGGGTTCACAACATGGAAGCATGACAGACATGGGGACCAGCCATTGGGTTCACAACATCGAAGAATGTCATACATGGGGACCAGCCATTGGGTTCACAACATGGAAGCATGTCATACATAGGGACCAGTCATTGGGTTTACAACACGGAAGCATGTCATACATGGGGACCAGTCATTGGGTTTACAACACGGATGCATGCATGTCATACATAGGGACCAGTCATTCGGTTCACAACATAGAAGCATGTCATACATTGGGACCAGATATCGGGTTCACAACATGGAAGCATGTCATACATGGGGACCAGTCATTGGGTTTACAACACGGATGCATGCATGTCATACATGGGGACCAGTCATTGGGTTCACAACATGGAAGCATGTCATACATATGGGGACCAGTCATTGGGTTCACAACATAGAAGCATGTCATACATGGGGACCAGTCATTGGGTTCACAACATAGATGCATGTCATACATGGGTCCAGTCACTGGGTTCACAACATGGAAGCATGTCATACATGGGGACCAGTCATTGGGTTCATAATACGGATGCATGCATGTCATACATGGGGACCAGTCGTTGGGTTCACAACACGGATGCATGCATGTCATACATGGGGACCAGTCATTGGGTTCACAACACGGATGCATGCATGTCATACATGGGGACCAGTCATTGGGTTCACAACATGGATGCATGTCAGACATGGGGACCAGTCATTGGGTTCACAACATGGATGCAGTCAGACATGGGGACCAGTCATTGGGTTTACAACACAGATGCATGTCAACACATTGGGACCAGTCATTAGGTTCATAACTATGAAATAATTATAATCCTTTATACTTATTTCAAAACAGGTATTTGACCTCCCATTAAACAACCATCAGTTATATATCACAAAAGATACAGATAAATATACAGAACTGGTCCCCTTAGAAAATGCTGGAGGGTAGTCCAACATATACAAGACTGTCCTATTGCCAGAAATCTGCTCCAACATCATTATCTCCAGCCTCACCAGCCTCATCATCACCATCTGAGCGTCCACCTGAGCCATGCCACCCTTCTGTACAATGGCGGCATCCCACATGGCGACAACCTTCTCTGTGTGTTTCACAAACGTTGGTAGGAAGCCTAAAGGACAACACACTTTCATCAATATGTCAACAGGGAACTGACCCAAAGAACATGCATCAGGATATCCAAACTTTCTAATAGAACATTTCTAGAACTTTATCAGGAATCCAATAAAACAAAAAAAAAACGGCATTATAACTGTCCCCTCAGAAGACTTTGTTTACATAGTAGTGCATGTTATGATGTAAATATTGAAAGACATGGAATAAATGCCTAAAAGTGAATGTAAAAAGGGACATAAATTTGACAAAAATAAAATGTATGGCATCAAATTATTAATACTTGCAATAGTTTGATTCAGTTCATTTTTATTGATTTAACTATGATGTAAATATTGAAAGACATGGAATAAATGACTAAAAGTGAATGTTAAAAGGGACATAAATTTGACAAAAATAAAATGTATGGCATCAAATTATTAATACTTGCAATATTTTGAATCAGTTAATTTTTATTGATTTAACTTGAAAAGTTTCAGAGAAAACTTGTCCCTATTGCAGAGACCATGCACTGAACAAAGCAACAAGGAAAGGCAGATGCCCATATCAAAGCTGGGAATGAGTTAGAAAATATACTCATTCTCATTCATACACAACAAATTTCTTGAGGTATCTCTAGCCTAGTGGTAAAAGCGCACACTCATCACGCTGAAGACCCAGGTTCGAATCCCCTCATGGATACAATGCGTGAAGCCATTTTCTGGTGTCCCCCGCCGTGATTTTGCTAAAAGCAGCGTAAAACTATACTCACTCACTCACTCACTCACTCACTCACTCCAGACTTCAAATCAACTCAGAGTCCTGAATTGTAGTCATCACAGGTTAAAGAATGGGGTGTCAGACAAATGCCGAATTTTAGATATAGTAATCTAAAAGTGAGATAGGTGAGTTTAGTTTTTACGCTGCACTCACCAATATTCCAGCTATCTGGCAGTGGTCTGTAAATAATCGAGCCTGGACCAGACAATCCAGTGATCAACATCATGAGCACTGATCTACACAATTGGGATACAATGACATGTGTCAACCAATTCATCGAGTCTGACCACCCAATCCCGTTAGTTCGCCTCTTACGACAAGCATGCGTTACTGAAGATCAATTCTAACCTGCACCTTCAGGGGTCAATCTAAACATACACAGCATTTCACTTTGCCTTGTATTTTTGAGATGATTAGTTCTCCTGGCAAGGCCAGGGTATTATTTGATGGCTCAAGTGTCAAGGTCACCTGCTGATGGGGGTAAAGAATCAGGGAACTATACAACTATACAAGCCCTTCTTTTCAGTACTGTCAGAATCATATCAAAGGTAATTTCAGGATTAATTATATTATTATTATTATTATTATTATTATTACACTAACATTTGTATAGCGCCTATATCCAGATCAGCTGCTCAAAGGCGCTTTGTTTTTCCCTCAATCACTGGATGTCAAGCTCAACATTATATAATCAATCTCAACTCCCTGGGGAGAATACAACTATATATTTATCTTCTCTCTACAGTTTCCTAACCATATCATCATTTGCCTGAGATGTGGTTCAAACAGTCACCTACTTTCAACTGTGTTGAGTGAGAAAGCTGGGTTCATGACCTTCCTGAGGGCGACATGCTCATCTCTATCCGTGAATAACACAAAACTCGGAGCCAGACGACGCCGGATGCTGGAACCTCTGCAACAACGCAGACAGTAATACACCTTTTCTTGATATTATCAAACATGATGATCTAACATTTGAACTTGCTGATAACATTTAACAAGAAGAAAAAGTCATCAATATCTCCCGCAATGGCAAAATACTCTTCATGAATATGTCTATGAGTTATGATTATGTCAAATGTTTTGACGTGTACATAAGTGGAAGGAGAGTACTGAAAGGTTTCAAAGTTCTGCTCCAGGAATTAAAGGAGCACTACCACCAAATTCAGTTGAAGCCAAAATTGTTGCCATGGAAACTAAAAAAAACCTAACATTTTATTCAGAAATCCTAAACTACCAAAAGGCACCAGTTCACCACTAGACCTACCTATGTATGAAATTTCGTGATGAAACAGTGAACAGTTTTTAAACAATGCTCCGGAAAAGAGTACTACCACCAATTTCAGTCAAAGTGAAACTTGTTGCCATGGAAACGCCAAAAACACTTTATTCTGAAATCCAAAACTACCAAAAGGCACCAGTACCCCACTAGACCTATCTATGTACCAGGTTCGGTGAACAAATAGTGAACGGTTTTAAAGTTCTGCTCCGGAAAAGAGCACTACCACCAATTTCAGTCTGTCAAACTTGTTGCAATGGAAACGCCAAAAATATTTATTCAGATATTTAAAACTATCAAAAGGCACCAGCTCACCACCAGATCTATCTATGTGCCAAGTTTGGTGAAGAAACATTGAACGGTTTTAGAGTTATGCTCTGGAAAAGACGCACAGATGCAGTCCATTTTAATACCCCCCGCAAAACGCGTTGCAGGGGATAATGATTACAAAGAATTTCCATGACAGCATCTTTCACATGTGGGTGCACTCAGAATATTCCAGGTTCAGCGATTAGGAATTGATCGTTTGTTGTTAAGTTGGTTGTTGTTTAATGCCGCTCTCTGCAACATACCACCTATATTCCATTGATGTACATAATTGGATATGATGACATGTGTCAACCAAGTCAGCGAGCCTGACCACCCGATAGTGTTAGCATGGGTTGCTGAAGATCAATTCTAAGACGGATCTTCATGGGTATAATGGCTAACATGTTTTTCCCTGTGTTACATGCTCATAGTAATGACTCTGCAGGGCTCGTTTTAGTGCTTTGTTACTTGCACTGGTGCAACCCAATATTACAAAGTGCAACCAAGTAGTAGTTATATACCATATCACTTCACCAGATTTATTTATCAAAGCATATGTACTTCATTAGCTTAAAGAACATTCATCAAAGATTGTCGGAAGACCAATTGAAGCTTATTTCCTAACCTATATTATACTCGAGATGGGATTGTATCTGGCCATGGACGAAAAGTCATCCATCCATAAAGTCATCGCTATCCAGTACGACTACATTTAATATTAAAAAGAAAACACGTGCGACACACTTCCGCACATCCTCAAAAAAAAATAATCTTAATTTTTTTCAGGGGGCATGAGGAAATAAAATGAACCACATATAAACCATTGGGGTATCCCTGTATTAGAACCCCACTATATAACTACTACTATATAACTACTATGTTATTTGTCTAACATGCAGCAGGTACAAGTCAATTTTTGAGCGGGTAAACCTCTGAATAAAACATCTAAATAAATTCAATAGCATATTTCTTAATAAAAGCAGTGCGACTGGAATTTGGCTGGTGCAACTAGGTATTTATCTTAGGTTGCACCCAGTGCCAATAGGTGAACATCTCTTTAATCGAGCTCTGCTTTGTATTCAGATAAATGGAATTGTCTAGTAACTGGAAAGGCTCTGTGATTGCATGTGATTTCCACTTCTGTAGAGAGGCTTGGGAAATCAGCTCCCTTGGCAGTGATAGCAACTCATCATGAAAGCCGAAGAAGAACTTGTAGTGATCATTACCATAAGGTACAACTTAAGAGAAAGACTGGATATATATTCACGACCTCAGATGTAAGGGTACTCCCTCCCATACCCTCCCTCCTCTTAACAAGACTGCAATTGGTACCCCGTTATCACACCGGTGACACGACACACGGCCCACTCATATCTAACAGCATGGCACCAGGTCCCTCGTGAGATACAATCCTATATGATCCTTGTGACTTACGATGAAAGTCTGCTATAGTTCTTGCTGTTGGTGACGCTGATGTACTTGACAAGGTCAGGGTCGGAAACCAGGACACGCCCCTCGCCATACAGGAAGTAGTAGCGGATGATGCGAGACTTGTACGTCTTCATCCACCTGGCGATACAAGCAGAAACACAATTTCAGTTCACAGAACGGAAAGCACAGTGACATATATATCATAAAGCAAGCATACTTGTGAAGTAAGAACATCCTTGTGAATCCTGCAGTCAGTTCCCATACTCCAGTCGCCAACGACCAGCCAGTGATTGATATTACGAGCATCTAATTGGGGCATGATGATACACCTGACCCATTGGCTACTGGCGGAGATCATACACGGAGGGACGGGCCTCAGTTCTAGTTGGAGACTGACTCACCAGACAAAGTGTGACTTGCACCGTAGACTGTGAGATTTGTTGAGTTACATATACAAGGGTTTCACGTATTGATTTAATTACCCTTGACACATTTATATACTTTGAATGAGTGAGGTTAGTTTTACGGCGCTTTTAGCAATATTTCAGCAATATCATGGTCCGGGACACCAGAAATGGGCCTCACACATTGTACCCATGTGAGGAATCGAACCTGGGTCATCGGTTTGACAAGTGAATGCTCTAAGCGCTAGGCTACCCCACCGCCCTTTATATACTTTAAGTTAGTTCATTTCTATTATATACTACAGTGCATTCATTAAATATAAGTAACTATTCATATACCTCATCATTTTTTGTAAAATAAAGAATGAAAACGTATTACGATATTCCACTGTTCCAAAAATGAATGGGAGCCTGTGAGAAAATTTCCAATGTATCAGTTTTCCAGCATACAATACTCAATTATATATGAAAGAAAGCCCATAGTTACCAGATTCAAGCGGAACAAGAAGTCCCCACGTGTGCTACATATAGTTTCAGTGTGAGAAAACCCAAGTCCAGAAGCTCTTAAACCTAAAGCTACCAAACTTAATCCCCATCTACTTTCCAAGATCAACACATTTGTCTTTTCAGTAATATCCCAAACACTGCCTGCCAGAAACAGTCTGTCTCACTCACAGGGGTTCAATTTTTTTTTTAAAAAGCCACTTGCCACAGGGCAAGTGACTTTAAGAAAGTAACTTGTCCTGACTAATTTTCCACTTGTCCTGATTTTATAAAAATAACTATACTGTATATATGATGCTGTAATTATGAAAGAAGAAATCAACATGGTATTTGATGTTAATGTTTACTGGACTATTTATTGAAAAGTGATAAATAGCAAAGAAAGATAACTCTACTTTATTATCATTCGCTTGAAATTTATTAGCTACATTTTGAGCAGATATGAAATTAAATCAAAGATTATTTTTGCAGTTTGAAACCATAAAGTGGAAATTATCTAGTAGCCAATGGACAAGTAAGATACCATTATTTGATTGCCCGAAATGAAAACTGACTTGTCCCCGGTCGAGTGGCTTATGGGATTTTTGAACCCTGACTCAGTCCACAACGTCTGTCCACTTACTCTATGGTGTTGCTCATGGGTTCTGCTCGGAGGGCATCAAACATGTTCCCCACAATCGGCTTGTACGGGGGGCCGGGTATCTGCAGGAAGGAGAGGACATTTGTTGAGATTCATACACTGTCTTGTATGGGAGAAGTCATTAATTATAGTCACCCTTAATTTAGGGGCATTTTAACACAAAATTTAAACTTGTGTTAAGAAATAATGTAAAAGTAAACATTAAAGTTTCTTCATTTGGTCCTGTTGTCTGTGACACAGCATGAACCGGGAAATGTCTAATTCTAGTCTCGGAAGCTTTACTGACCTCACATCTTAAATGAGAGACCTATGAAGATCTGGGTTAGAATTGGTTTTCAGTAACCCATGCTTTTCGTAAGAGGCGACTAACAGGATCGGGTGGTCAGGCTCGCTAACTTGGTTGACACATGTCATCAGTTCCCCACTGCGCAGATCGATGCTCATGATGTTGATCACTGGATTGTCTGGTCCAGACTCGATTATTTACAGACCACCGCCATATAGTTGGAATATTGCTGAGTGGTGTAAAATTAAACTCACATTCACACTCTTAAATGAGAATAAAACTGAAAAACTGCAGATACTTGTCTATTTGTACTAGCAGTAGTGTTCATTTTTACCCAACAAATGGGTCAATATAACCCAACAGCTGGTCTGTTATGGCAATGGTCAGTTTTCACAAGACAAATGAGCTGTGATGACTGAGACAGCTGGTCAATTTTCCCAATGTTCTACACATGTTCCTACAGTATTACCTGTCTGAGCGGGGAGAGGAAGGGCTTGACAAGCACCTTGTACACAAGCCATGTGCTGCCCCCGACTGTCAAGTACACGCCCACATCTTGCCACGTCACCCCTTGGTTGAGTCGGCTGTACACATCTCTCAGCCATTCCATCGTCCACTCCATAACTGTGTCGTAGGAAGGAGACGGTGAATGTATACTCTGTGTTAAAAACAAGATAATAAAGAAATACAGTGGTGAAAAGTGATCCAATTCTTGCAGCAGACTGCATGAAGAGGTGATAATACATTATCATATTGTACATAAGCAAATAATGATACGGAAAGTAATGTAGGCAGGGACCCTGAAATGGCGTCTTTATGTATTTACAGTGTTGTTGTCATTGTTATTTCCCTTGTGCATTTGTATCGAAGCAACTCCATATCAACTGGGTCATGGTGAGTTTTTAAGCGTACATATCTTATCTGGATTTTGAATATTTTTGTGAGTGCGTTGGTGGCAATGCATCATTCTATCAGTTTGTTTTGTTTGTTGTGTAACACTGGACTCAGCCCTATTCCAGCTACATGAAGGCAGTCGTAAATAATCGAGGCTAGACCAGACAATCCAGTGATTAACAGCATGAGGGTAAGGAAGTGATCTAATGACACCATGCACATCAGGCTATGTCAGCTGAGAATCACAGTGTATGAAGATGCAGAGTTAAAAAAGCAAAAACATGTAATCCCCATTTTATCTGGCAGAAGCAAATAGGGGTAATGCCTCAAACTATGACATCACTGTCTCACATTCCAGGATGTCAACGTGCTCGTAGCGCGGTAAAACATGTAATCCCCATTTTATCTGGCACAAACAAATAGGGGTAATGCCTCAAACTATGACATCACTGTCTCATATTCCAGGATCTCAACGTGCTATCGTAGCGGTAAAACATGTAATCCCCATTTTATCTGGCAGAAGCAAATAGGGGTAATGCCTCAAACTATGACATCACTGTCTCATATTCCAGGATCTCAACGTGCTCCTAGTGCTGTAAAACATGTAATCCCCATTTTATCTGGCAGAAGCAAATAGGGGTAATGCCTCAAACTATGACATCACTGTCTCATATTCCAGGATCTCAACGTGCTCTAGTGCTGTAAAACATGTAATCCCCATTTTATCTGGCACAAGCAAATAGGGGTAATGCCTCAAACTATGACATCACTGTCTGACATTCCAGGATCTCAACGTGCTCGTAGGGCGGTAAAACATGTAATCCCCATTTTATCTGGCAGAAGCAAATGGGGTAATGCCTCAAACTATGACATCACTGTCTGACATTCCAGGATCTCAAGCGTGCTTAGCGTAAGCGGTAAAACATGTAATCCCCATTTTATCTGGCACAAGCAAATAGGGGTAATGCCTCAAACTATGACATCACTGTCTCACATTCCAGGATCTCAAGCGTGCTCAGAGCGTGGCCGTGGTAAAACATGTAATCCCCATTTTATCTGGCACAAGCAAATAGGGGTAATGCCTCAAATTATGACATCACTGTCTGACATTCCAGGATCTCAACGTGCTCGTAGCGCGGTAAAACATGTAATCCCCATTTTATCTGGCAGAAGCAAATAGGGGTAATGCCTCAAACTATGACATCACTGTCTGACATTCCAGGATCTCAACATGCTCATAGCGCTGTAAAACATGTGGCTGTGCAAAGTGACCAACTTATAGAAACCCTGTCACGCTTATATACAGGTACTATGATGTAACTTACTGGTACATTTTCATCAGTAATTAAAACATTTTAAAAGTTAAATGCTGTTGAGTAAACTTTTATGTGAAACAATTAAGATTTAGGCACCATGATTTAATGGCCACACAATAAGCTATGCAAGTTGTGCCTTCTATTAATTTAACTGTGTAAAATTATATATCACGAATCATAATGATGTCACAGTGATGTACCTGTGAAGATCGAGGTAAGAATTGATCTTCAGCAACCCATTCTTGTCGTAAATGGCAGTTTAGATAGATGTTTTCTCACAACTAACCGTATAAATATGAAATGATATATATTTATATCACACAGTAGCCTCGAATAATTGATTGTGTGACTACTTGAGTGTTTTTTTACAGTAGATTGATAGGGAATGAAACAATTAATGACTTGTGAACATTAACTTGCTATTATTATTAACTTGTTATTACTAGACATGAAAATGAAACGTATTGCGATACGCTGATCGAAAACTGGTATTTCGACATGCATTCGGAAAACTTTATAACACTCGGAAATCTTCGGATATTTCCTTGTTTTATTTGTGCCAAATATTATTTCCATTTTTGTTTTGTAATGAATAAAAGTTTTTATTAAAGCTTAATCAAACATAGTGATTTTGTTTTGTTTTTGCTTTTTAAGTCAAGCATTAACTCGATTATAAGTATTTTTTAGTTAAAAAAACCCCTCTTGCAATATATTGCAATACATATCACAATATATATTTTCGCATCGCCTTATATCGCAATGTGAAAATTCTCTGCAATACCAACCCCTATATATGACGGTGGTCTGTAAATAATCGAGTCTGGACCGGCGGCAGTGAACGGGCTGGACACATCGGTGAATAGCTAATAAAGTATCATAATTAATTCTGCTTCATTAATTTAACGAACGATGGAGTAATTTTTGCAAATATCGCTAAAATATGGCGATAACTCTTCGCAGGGAGACTATATAACGGGGAGTGGTCACTCCTCGAAAAGCCCCTTAGCGTATGCCTCGGCTCGTCACGTGACCAGTGTAGCCAATATGGCAGAAGCGTAGTTTTTAAGATTGAGCCCGGTTTATTTTCAACAGCTGATTACATTCGTTGAGTGTTGTGACAACTGAAAACCTACATGTAGAAGATAAGTTACCTATTCTGTCACTTCATTTTAAGTCAAATAATTGTTATTAGTGTCAGTATTAGTACAGTAGATTTGTAGTAAAGTTTTAAGTCGGCATGTTGTAGCTCACTGGCTTCAGTTCTCAGTACACAGCGAAGAAAGACTAAATTCTATCGCTAAAATCTTCTTTCACATATTCGTTTAATGTTTAGAAGGGAAATATACCTTTAGTTGAAAGGTGTTTACAAGTAATAGTGATAGTTTTATAACTAAAAAAGTTTGTTAGGGTGTATTTTAGGTGTGTGAAATATATGACATATCGCCGATCTGTTCTGATTCGCCATTGATGCTTGTGATGGAAAGGTGTTTACAACGCTTTGTGATAGTTCTAAACTTTCTGTTTTTGAGGGGTGTGTGACAGTGTCACTTAACATTCTGTCAATGTCCATGGCATTCCACACATGCAATAAGATATTTGAATTAATTACTAATGTAAAAAAATGTCTCAAAGTAGATTTTTAAAAAAAAGGACAGCTGATGTTAACACATGTGTTCCAGCGATAGTTTTGCGTTCATTAACATGTTTGGGGAGGGATAGCAGTGGTGTATCATTTAATCTTTCATTCATTCACATATGTATTTCTTTGTTTTGTTCTTTTTCTTTATTTCTTTCATTCATTCACATATAACTCTTGCTCTAACTTCATTCATTCATTCATTCATTCATTGTAAAATTCCGACCGATACAATAAACTGGCTGAAGTACTGTTAAACGCAGCGGAAGTTGCGCTGGGAACAAATCAAGTCACTGTGCATGACGAGGCAAACGCTAATTGGTACAAATGGTAAAGAAAGCAAGCAAGTGACCTATACCTGATGTAGAGTATCCCTGCTCTTCGTTAGCCAGTACAGACAACACAACAGCTGATTTGGACTTTGAACCCTTACCCACAACATTCATTAACCCAAATATGTACCTGGTGCGTCCAGTTAGTTGATGGAACTAGAGACTATGTGCAGCTACTGACTATACACAGTTTCTGATGGAACAAGTCTGTCTACCTGCACCTGTGGCTGGTTAACGATGGACCATATTGCAGTACATGAAGTGATTCACTCAGAACATAAGCATTCAATGTCCCATTGTTGTTTTGATATGTACCATTAACAGGTATCATGTCAGCTACCTCCAGTAAATACATGCACGTACCATGACGGGGCTGTGATTACCATACCGGCAGTGATAACTTAATACCTAGGCATCATGACACTGACCAGCTTATACTAACTGCAATGGTGCTCATTGTTGACAGGATATTCGAACAGCCTCTAGGAGCATTTCTGCACAATAAGAAGGAATGAACATATGTATAAAATTACCTGGATATCTGCTAGATGCACGCCAAATCAAATGCAGTGCATGACATCAGCTGAGAGATGTGCATTCTCCTGCTTGACACAAAACAACGACTGGACTTTCCTCGTTCACAGCCCATGACCAGCTGATCACAGCAGATGTGAAAAGTCAGATCGGCACTAATCCGGAATAAAATCGCTTTTAGGCATTCGATACGTTTTGAAATTCACACGAAACAATGCAAAAAAGGTATCTAACGGAATTATGGTAGTAAATATGTTTATGTAATGTTGTTTTGTTTTTTTGTTTGCCCTATACCGTTATATTTATGTTTTCAATAGTCTCAATCATGATCAACAGTACTTCATCATGAGAGTAATATTTTACTGGAGCTTCACTTCTTAATCATAATTCATGCATAAGCACATAAACAGTGTTTTTGAATGAGCTAACATATCTTATGTTCATATTTTTCAGTTAACTATTATGCTATGGTGTTACTGTTGCTAAGAAATGTTTTCATCTATAACAAATCATATTGATGTGTGAGTATGATTTTACGCCGCTGTCGCAGGAGTGAATGACTGGGTTTGGTTTTACGCCGCTTTTTGCAATACTCGAGCAATATCACGGCAGGGGACACCAGAAATAGGCTTCACACATTGTACCCATGTGGGGAATCGAACCCGGGTCTTCGGCGTGACGAGCGGACGCATAAACCATTAGGTTACCCCACTGCCAAACTGGATGTTTGACGGTGCTCTAAGGATAACCAACATTTTCTTTTCTTTTAACGTGTTTAAGGAACATTAAAATAGGAAACAGAATTGTTGATTGTTCGGTTCTTTTAGGGAATACCACAGGGTTCAAGCTCAGGTCACATTCTGTTTCATAATGTTGTTACTGATATGTTTTCCACTCTTGGTGTTATATTCCCAGTAATGTGTCCGACTCGCACACCGAACCTGAACATGTCAACGCTGCCCTCTACGAGTATTGTAAAACACCCTGCAAGAAATAGCTTATATTTGTCGGTATGACGATGCTTTGTTATGAAGTTGTTACTTTGTTTGCTAATGATAAACTAACAGATTGCCGACCGCCTCCGTGGTGTAGTGGTGAGAGCGTCCGCCCGGAGTGCGGAAGGTCGCGGGTTCGATCCCCGACTGCGTCATACCAAAAGAAATTAAAATATGGTACTTGTTGGTCCCTGCCTGGCGCTCGGCATTAATGGGTACAACAAGGACTGGTCGGCTCGGAGTCAGTATAATGTGTCTGAGTGGGGTATTCATGCTTCACTGCGGCATGGTATCACACTGGGCTAGCACTATAAAACCAGCTTCAGTCTGGGCTAATACAAGCAGCCGCACATACACATACACACGCATGCACGTCGTCATATGAGCGAAATATTCTCAAGTACGACGTTAAACTAAATTCCACCACCACCACCACTAACAGATTGCCAAGTTCAGCCAAAAGTGAGAAAGAGCTCGAAAATTTTATACATGCATATGGGTCGTATACCACAAGATGGGGTAACACGTTTATCTTCAAATTCTTTCATTCAAATACTGCCCCCTGTCACTTATGTGACGAAACCGGCAGTACGTTTGAAAGCGTGAAACAATTTGAAACCAGCCCAAGATTTGTGTAGCCTCCAAAGTCTCCCACCTACAACTGACACTAACTGTGTTCTTGTATGGCGTTTGAAGAACCCTACAAGGGCATCACCTGTGTAGTTTCAAAATTTGATTAGTCTATCACCCTGTGACAGGAACGTACAGCGACGGAGAACATCTTGTAAGCTCCGACTGAAGTCACCTGTGCAAGAGTCCAAACGGACCCGGGATGGTTTTCGAAACTCTGAATCATATAGTGATTTCTAGCTGATCTGCAGTCCTTTACAGACGTGTTCAGGACCACCATGCACGTGTCTGTATCCAACTACAATAATGATTTTCGCCTGTCATTTGTTTTTCACTTCTTACTCCACATTTGTTTTGGCTTACCATGTACGTTTCATCTGTCAGTTGTTATATAGTTTTCTCTGCCTGTCCCCTCGAAATAAAGCTCTAATTAATATTGTTACTTAACATTTCAAGTTGAAGTACCCGTAACTCCTTGTAGTTTGTAGATTAATTCCGTGCCTATGCATTTGTTGGAATATGATTTCAGAGGTTTTGTCAGCTTTTTTGTAGTTGTATTGTTCGCGTTTGTAAACAAACATTAACTTTATTGTATTTTCACATTTTCTGATTGTGACGTTCACCTCATCTCATCTGAATCCATAAAGTTGATAAGTATACTGCCGAGATAAGAACGTATACAGTCGTTTGTTGGTGGCGAGATGAAACCAACAAGAAATGGCTATTCGATGGTGATATATACTGGACAAAAATAGTTAGGGATATACGTAAATTTTGAAATTATGAATTATGATCTATTTATTCATTGACACACTGATAAAATATCAATCATAAAAATACCAATATCCCTAACTTATTTTGTCCAGTATATTTGATACGGGAGGCATAGTTGTGTTTTGGACCTATATTTTCTGCTGGTTGATGTTTTCACCCTGCTGGCGTTTTATTGACGTATATATTTTTTGGGTCAATTCCAATTTTCAAGTGTATGCCTTGCTTGGCATTTCAGAAAAAACAACATTTCCAGAGCGCGGTTAGGAGGGAGTGAGCGAGTGAGTTGGGTTTTACACCGCCGTTAGCACTATTCCAGCAACATCACGGCGGTTGACACCAGAAATGGGATTACCCATGTGGGGAATCGAACCCAGGTCTTCGGCGTGACGAGCGAACGCTTTAACCACTAGGCTACCCCTCGCTGTAAGGACGGAGTTACCTCCCGCCTCTATGTGTCCTCCAACAAACCTTTTGTCATTCAGATGTCCCACCAGTGTAGACTCCATCCTCTACATCTCTGGTGTTAGCAGGTCGGTAAACCTGCCAGTTCCTTCTTAATGTAGGAATTATGACATCGAATGTTTTCCCTCATTCATAAAAAGTAAACATAACATAGGACATCGACTGAAGACTCTCAGGCGGACTTGTAATTCAAACAATGAAAGTTTAATCAATAAATGCATTGCATATTTACAACATCACATTCGTGGTTTGTTAATTCTCTCTTATTGCAAAAGCAAATACGAAAAGCAGAGATCCTGTTGGCGAGTGACACCTGAAGGGTCATCTTGGCCGACCCAGCAGAACACAAGTGTCAGTATACCGAACTACAAGGTATATGACTTCGCTGTCGCGTCAGTCTGGAGCCACAGGGTATGGGACTTCAATGTCACGTCAGTCTGGAGCCTCACTGTATGGGACTTCAATGTAACGTGAGTCTGGAGCCACAGGGTATGGGACTTCACTGTCACGTCAGTCTGGAGCCACATGGTATGTGACTTCAATGTCACGTCAGTCTGGAGCCACAGGGTATGTGACTTCACTGTCACGTCAGTCTGGAGCCACAGGGTATGTGACTTCACTGTCACGTCAGTCTGGAGCCACAGGGTACATGACTTCAATGTCACGTCAGTCTGGAGCCACATGGTATGTTACTTCACTGACACGTCAGTCTGGAGCCACAGTGTATGTGACTTCTCTGTCACGTGAGTCTGGAGCCACAGTCAGGTGAAACTGGAGCCACAGGGTATGTGACTTCAATGTCAGGTCAGTCTGGAGCCACAGGGTATGTGACTTCACTGTCACGTCAGTCTGGAGCCACAGGGTATGTGACTTCAATGTCAGGTCAGTCTGGAGCCACAGGGTATGTGACTTCTCGGTCACGTCAGTCTGGAGCCACAGTCAGGTGAGTCTGTAGCCACAGGGTTTGTCACTTAATTCTGTCACGTCAGTCTGGAGCCACAGTCATGTGAATCTGGAGCCACAGGATATGTGACGTCAATGTCACGTCAGTCTGGAGCCACAGGGTATGTGACTTCTCGGTCACGTCATGCTGGAGCCACAGGGTATGTGACTTCACTGTCATTACACTTGCAAGTCACTCTGGAAGCATTATTGTCAGCCGATATAAAGTTTGGAGCCACAGAGTATGTGACTTCTCTGTCACGTCAGTCTGGAGCCACATTCAGGTGAGTCTGTAGCCACAGGGTTTGTCACGTAATTCTGTCACGTCAGTCTGGAGCCACAGTCAGGTGAGTCTGTAGCCACAGGGTTTGTCACTTAATTCTGTCACGTCAGTCTGGAGCCACAGTCATGTGAATCTGGAGCCACAGGATATGTGACGTCAATGTCACGTCAGTCTGGAGCCACAGGGTATGTGACTTCTCGGTCACGTCATGCTGGAGCCACATGGTATGTGACTTCACTGTCATTACACTTGCAAGTCACTCTGGAAGCATTATTGTCAGCCGATATAAAAGTACGAAATGGAAAACACGGATCTTGCGAGCAGAGGTATCTTTCAACAGTACACCAGTTCCTTGCATTCAGTTTCAATGTACTACACCGTTAAGCACATCAGCAACTGCCGTCGCTCATGCCTGAATCAATACAGGCGAGTCTAAGCGTCTACAGCAGTGTGAACCAAGGTGAGGGTACAACTGCAGATTAAAGTCAAGCGAGCCAGCTCTGCTAAAATAAAAGTAAACGCCATGTACCCTTACTCACGAGAAACATTTGTTTCGAGCGTGTGTTTTCCGCCAGAGGAGAGTTGTTGTAAATACGAAAGAGAATATTTCTGACCGAAAACTAAATGCACTCAGACCATACACTCCAGCGTCTGTACAAGGTGTCAAGGTCACTGGGACATGTCGATGACATACAGACAGGCTGGTGGCTCATTCACTGTAGAATATACCTGTAAACCCCAGACACTGTGGCACTTGTTTCTGCAACAATAGCCAGCCTTCATACCTTCAGTGGCCCTCCTTGGTAATGCAGACAAATAATGTTTAGGCACAAGCTCGCAATTTAACAGTCTCTGAATCGAAAAATTCTATAGATCATTGGCTTAAGGTAATGATCATTCTGGTTCTACGTAGGACTTTTTGAGTTTGATGGAGAGACTCTGTTGGCGTTCAGTGAGAGGAAGGCACGGGAAGACTTCATAGCCGACATCGATGGAACCATGGACGTGTTTCTTGCTTGGGACACGTTCGCTTTCATCTTAGCTGCCAAACGCATCATTTTCACCAAGTCCTCCCTGGCCTGGCTCTTACAGAAGGAGTCAAAGGCAGCTTCAAGTTTCTGTCTGTCGAGAGTCAGCGCGTTGTATCTCTTGCCCACTGGGCTGGTAGGTGTGCTCTCGTTCTCCTTTAGATAGCGAAACAGCTCGGCTGATCCTTGCAATCGTCTTTTGGGAACAGGTTTCTCGTTAAATGATTTCACCTCGTCCAGGAAGTTCTTGATCTTCTCCTCCAAGGGGTAGGCTGTCTCGGGCTCTGCCTCATCCTCTGACTCTTCAGATTCAGAGTCAGAAGGCGGACGCTCCCCGAACGTCACATACCTCTTGGGGCCCAGGGTGGGGGGCTTTGGTTTGGGTTTAGGTTTTTCGAGTGTTTTGGGTAAAACAACAATCGTTTGTAGCTTTCCCCTCTTGGAGGGAAGAGCTGGCAGCTTGGCCATCTTGTCTTCCTCTATCTCAGTCAGGAAGACACCTCTGGATTTCCTCCCTGGTGGTCGTTGCGGACTCGAGTCTCGGGATGAACCGACTGGGGCTGACCTGTGGAGAGCAGACAGGGAACATGAGGACACTGGTATATATGATTTATGGAGTGAGTGAGAACGGTTTTACGCCGCTTTTAGCAATATCCCAGCATTATCACGGCAGGTGACACTAGAAATGATCTCCACGCATTTTACCCATGTGGGGAATCGAACCCGTGTATTCAGCGTTACGAGCTACCATGAGGCTACCCCACCGCCCTAGGATATATGGATATATATGGCCACTTGTATATTGGTCATTGAAATATAGGACATTGGAATTCTGAAATCTGAAGCTCAGACTAAGCTCTGACTAAGACAAAGTGACCAATCACAGAGCTGCTTTCTGGCTCGCCTCCATTTGGTGCAGGTGCGATGTCCGATTTGTTCCCACTTGGTGTCAAAATGGCTAGTCGATATCGGTGTTCAGTAGTATTACAGAATCGAGAGGTGTCGAGCATTTGAATCAATAGAATAATATCACCCAAATCAAAGTGGATATCAGGCAAAAGAGACACATGGCGAGTGGTACTGTACGGAGCATCTGGCCTTGTGTAAAGATATATAGGATGGTCGTTTTCTGACATGAATTCGTGGTATTAATTGATTTGGAAATATTTAAGCAACGACGGCCTCTGGTCCGGCCTAAGGCCCATGTCCTGCATAAATCCACGCACACATACGCCAAACATGATACACCGTACTAATTTGGATTTGGGGTAAAGTAACCGTTTGAGTTCACATTCCCCACAACCATTAAGTCGTCCTGAACGCTTATACGTATCCTATACAACCACTGTCCGTCCCGTTTCACAACACCAAATCCGTCCTTATCCTCAGCTACAGGTCTTTACAGTCCAGTACTTCTACAATTCAGCCAATCTTATCCTTCCTCGTATGTCCACATTCTGTCCTTTCCCAGTTCTACTTTTCTACGGACCTACACAGTCTGCTCATTCAACAGACCCGCACTTCAACCCTTCTACACATTGATCTACCGTCTACATATCCATTCAACCCGACTCTCTAAATATAAACACCGTCCACCATTCTATAGATCCTCATTATTCACTCTTTGTACAGACCTACCTAGTCGAATTATATGTACAGATCCACCAAATCCCTCGTATAGAGTTCTATACAGTTATAAAAATTGCAAAATTCCCGAATCCCCCATTTAAATACTTTCAAGGCCCACCCTATCAACCATCCCGAAGACCCATCTCATCCACCTTTCGGCCTACCTTTAGAATACAGCACCACAAACTTTAAAAATACGTCATAATACCCTTTTACGTAATGTTATGTGATTTTGTTCGAACGCACGTTCTCGAAACAATGCCCTATGACGCCTGCATGGCAACACCGTTGCGTATAAGCGAGTGTGTATAAGCTCCGCTCACTGGTGTTTCATCTCTACGAGCTATGTCATTGCATAAGCCCAACGATGTTGAGAGTTTCCAGTAGTTGTATACCGGCGGATGCGCAATATTTTGCAAGCACCAGTTTGAAATATTTTTCTTTTTTCACTAATACGCTCATATTTATTTGTATTACGGGCTGCTGAGGTGTTATGTTTTGTGTATTTTGTATTTTGTAATTTTTTTAATTTACATATATATTTTTGTCATTCAGTAATTTGCACCATTACATAGAAAAGTGTTTTATTAGTATTTTATTTTTCGAAGCGGTAATAATGCATTACACTAGACACGTCAGTCGTGTTTGTGCCGGTTCGGTCAATGCATTCTATTTATTAGGATTAATTCAAGGGATTGGGGTTAGGGCTAGGGCTAGGGCTAGGACTAGGACTAGGACTAGGACTAGGACTAGGGTTAGGGTTTTGGGTTTAGGGTTTAGGGTTAGGGTTTAGGGTTGGGGTTGGGGACCTAATGCAATATAGTAGGTACATGTCCGGTGGTTCGGTCAATGCATTCTATTTATTAGGATTATTTCAAGGGGTTAGGGTTAGTGTTAGGGCTGAGGGTTTAGGGTTTAGGGTTAGGGTTGGGGACCTAATCCAATATAGCAGGTACATGTCTGGTGTAATACGTGAGTACCATTTGTTGTTTTTCCTTTTTGCATTTTAATACTTTTTTTTCACACAAAAACGGAAAACCCAAAACGTCGAAAGTACATTATGAAATGGTTTAATGTAGAAATTTTGGGCTAATGGAAATTGGTCTGGAATTTGCACTCAAGCCTCTTTAACACGCAACATGAATTTTGTAAAGTAATGATTCGAAGGCTAACTCACCCGAGTGCCGTCACTACACATGCTCATGTCTCCCTCGTTCTTTAGTGCGATCCACATTATCCTTACAGTGTTCCCTACATCACTTTTCTGTCACAAAATCACCGATTTATATAAAAGCGCGTCATTCATGAAATCTACATATGACGTCAACAACCCTTTTCAGTTTGAGGCATATCGGCTCATTCCACGCCACACGTTAATTTGTAGATTACGGAATGGGACGAGTGTGCCAAATGGCATCGGATCCATTCGGCAATTGTCCGGAGAATAAAATCACGAGACACCAAGTCTACCCGTAGCATTCGTAATTGTCCGTGACCTATTCGACTCTTTCCGTTCATTTCCGTGACGTCACAGGAATGACTCGATAAATTTGCACATTTCGCAACAGTGTGGACGTAGCTCAGTCGGTTAGCTGTCGAGCTAACAATCCGAAGGTCGCGGGTTCGCGTCCGACGGGTTCTCACAAACTGGTTGCTTGTCTTAATGACACGTGACCTACGGCAGAGATCGTCCTCACGAGAAGTTGTGGTGCTGTATTCTAAAGGTGCTCCCATCCTCCTTTTAAACATCCACCCAGCATAGTCCCCCAACATCCCGACTCCTCCAGATCCACCCTACCTGCTCCTGTCCTTCATGTCCAGCTGCTGCATCCTCCTCATCTCCTGGGCGGAGTAGGACCTCTGGACGATCAGCTCCTTCTGCCTGGACACCAGCCGATGACGGTACCTGGACACAGGGGCATGAACCGTTAGGGAGGGGCGATGTCTATATTACTTTGACACAGAGGGTTTGACGTTATATCTGTGGGAGTCTCATTGCTATTTTACATGAGGGAAGAATAACTCTTGAAAAAGAAGGCAGTTTACCCATGATTTACCCAAGGAAGTAGGTAAAGGAAATGCTAGACCTTTGGGGAGGAGGGTGAGATATACAGAGGGAAGAGGAATGGTTATATAGTATTGGGAGGATGGAGGCGTTGTATTACGTCGCGGGGGGAGAGAGACGGCGAGAAAGGAAATGCTATATTACAAAGGAAGCCTTACATGTGGTTTATAGTTGTGATTTTGGGACTTTAAGTTTGCAGTGTTTTGACAACGTTTGTACATGGTGGAGTCTACAGTATATTGCCTTTCGGTCACGAAGTGCGGGGAACACGCTGTGTAACACGAGCAGTGTAAAATGCTACATTTCACAGGAAGGAATACACTTTGTTACAGAAGGAGAGGAAAAGGCCCTGTTTCACAGGACAGAGCAAAATACTGTATTACACAAGGAGATTAAAATGTCCTATTTCTCAGGACAGAGGAAAATACTTTGTTACAGAAGGAGAGGAAAAGGCCCTGTTTCACAGGACAGAGCAAAAGACTGTATTACACAAGGAGATTAAAATGTCCTATTTCTCAGGACAGAGGAAAATACTTTGTTACAGAAGGAGAGGAAAAGGCCCTGAGGAGGAGAGGCCCTGTTTCAGGACAGGACAGAAAGGCCCTGTTTCACACTGACAGAGGAGCAAAAGACTGTACAGAGAAGGAGAGGAAAAGGCCCTGCTTACACAAGGGATTAAAAGGCCCTGTTTCACAGGACAGAGCAAAAGACTGTATTACACAAGGAGATTAAAATGTCCTATTTCTCAGGACAGAGGAAAATACTTTGTTACAGAAGGAGAGGAAAAGGCCCTGTTTCACAGGACAGAGCAAAATACTGTATTACACAAGGAGATTAAAATGTCCTATTTCTCAGGACAGAGGAAAATACTGTATTACACAAGGAGAGGAAAATTTCACAAAACACATGCGAGAGGAACATGTTATATTACCCAGGGGAGAAGATAATGTTATATAATACAGACGAGGTGATGATGCTATATTCCACAGAGGAGAGGAAAGTGATATATTACAGAGGGCAGAGGAACATGTTATATAACCCAGGGGAGAAGATAATGTTATATAATACAGACGAGGTGATGATGTTATATTACACAAAGGAGAGGAAAGTGATATATTACAGAGGGGAGAGGAACATGTTATATAACACAAAGGAGAAGATGATGCTATATTACACAGAGGAGAGGAACTTGAAAGAGTACGGGGAAATGCTATATAACACGGGCGTTGGGTGTGTGTGATAACTACATGGGTAGTGCACCATCACAGTTCGCCAGTGAAGCCAACCTACCTCTCCATCAGCCTCTTCTCCACTGTGATGTCCTTGACGAGCGTGCTGATCTGCTTCTGATACAGGTCAACCTCCTTCACGTACTGGGTCCCCAGCGTCTTGTGCTTGTTGAACAGCAGCTGCGAGTGGTTGGGAGATAGCATCACCTCCACGTTCAACGTGTGGTCCTGCCATGACAGGTTCTTCGTCTTTAACAGAAGCAGCGACATCGTCCACTACGAGATCTTCACACAGTCGCTAATAACCAATAATCCCAGTTGCTTACTGTATCTGTGCTGTGTGAACAGTCGATCTTAGACCGTTCATGGAGAGCTCAGTTGTTTGCCTTATACTCTATCCTAACATAGGTACATTTCCAGTACCCACACGTAAAGTGTCTTGGTGTGTAGACAATACTGTCAAGTGATCACTCCACACGTCAAACCTAACCAGACTGTTTCTGTGAATTATCTCAAGCTATGAGGCACCGTCACTACAGCAATCACCGCGGACACTGCCTGTATCTTAATAGCTCTCCTTGGGATTACTCGTTTCGACGACCGAACTCTTCATAATCCCAAAATTAATTATGTAGAATAATGAGATCTCTGTTAATAGCTGCATTGAGAGATCAACCGTTCCTTTGATTAACACAGCTTCTTCGTAGCTCCTGTTTCGTCAGATTAATTGCAAACTGTTCTGTCAGTTCTAAGATTCACCTGGTGTTATATTCTACAGTCATATTCCATACTGTAATCTGGGGATACACTCATGATCACCCAGTGTGACAGCGTCCTTCCATACCTGCTTCACTCCACAGACACCTTAAGAGAAAAATCAGTACTTGAGTTTAACACAGATACCCACCACGTAACACGTATTTACTATGTACTGCTGGCAGGTATTAAGTCTAACACGAATGTTACCTGCGAGAAGTCATTGCAACCTACAGCTGGACACCCGGTAACCCCGATACCTACAGCAGCAAGTCACTGTATAGAGGTACAGTAACAAAATTGATGTGCACAAACTCAACACACCTATCAGTCGTGTCCTAGAGCCCCGTGCTCACACCGAAACAAGGGGTGGTACTATCTCATATGTATCCAGGTGTATTCCACATTGTATCCACTACCTGGGAGATATAGGAGAACCGTGCTGCCACCTACCGTCTTCCATCAAGCCATGCTCCATTAACCGTCGTCAAGCTAATCTGATCCCATCTCCACCCAGAGTAACTGTAACAAACAGTCTGGGAATAGGAGCCCGTACTTCTATGTAATAATCCTAGCGATCCGCTACACATGATTAATTCCCTCTGTGATTCAGTAAGGCAGATTATAGTCTACATAATACACACGCGATATGAATATATATAGGCTCGCGACCCCTACAGGGTATAAGCCTGGAGATGCGAAATACAACAACAATGTGATCTACATATGAATTTTGTAAATATTTTTCAGGACAATTTTCCAAATTTACTTTTAAGAAAGGTAATATTGTCGATATTATGGCCGGGACTTATCCCCTCCATGGTGACTATAAGGCCGGGGGCTGTGGTTTTCGCTTGTGGCGTGGCGCAGCAACGGGTCGATGCTGACTTAACAGTAAAGCCTAGTGACTTGTATCAAGTCTCCAGAACACAGAGGTTAATCAAGCCCGAGTCTGATCACTGTGGGTGAAACAAAACACACACATAGAACTCGTATTGCAATAAACATGTGTCTATATCCCATGGCCTTATGCCAGCATATCATCGCTTAGATATTATGTACTAAGTGACACTGGTATATTACCTGAGTGTGGTTATCAATTGACACTTGGTCAAATTAGCAGAGGAAACGGGGACTTTAATTGAAACGAAAATGAATTCACTGTGACTGCTGACATCTCGAGCCTTGTCCCTGTATATAAATATTCTAGTTGCGAGGGGGAAACTCGTTTACACTTAGGGCGGAAATGACAGATAGTAGTTACACTGACAGTTTGTACTGACGAGAAATATCGTCGACGTAATCACAGATTTGTCCGTGGTCCGTGGAGCATGTACGAAGACGATGACAGCATTTATTTGTCGATACTACTGGCTATGGTATATATAGATATCTGTATAGGTTTGCGTGCAAAATGGGTGCAGCGATGAGTATCAAGTACATCTTGAGTAAAACATGTAATAGTGCTACCCGTTTTTTAACTTTAAATTATACAGGAATAAAGGTTCTACCTCGGGGTTTGGCATTGATGCTATGCTTGATGGTTTCTATGTTATCTCCACTCATCCACATACACACACCCCTTCTTCTGACCCCCACCCCGCAAACCAACAACCGCACCCACACTACTCACTTTCATCTTCCTTTCTTCCCCGCTCTCCCCCCCTCCTATACCCATTCCCTCCCCCTTTCTTCATCCCTCTCTCTCCTCAGAACTGTTCATTTCAAACAATACAGTTCTTACAACAAATAAGAGAAATAAATGTGCGCCCTTCTGAGTCTTCTTATGTTTATAATTATTCAACTCGATAACCGAAATCAATATTGATACGACAGTTAACTCATCAAATAAAGTACGACTTTACAATCTTAATACACTTACCTGGCATCTGTAGGTGTGATAAGCCAGTTATTCACCAGCTAAGAATCCGTTTCCATGTTGCTAGTACCGTCCACATTGTGTAACATCTCCATCGGGATAAACAAACACCTGCCTCCACGACCTGCACTGACTGCTGTGCCTTCTGATGGTCGACTGTTATCGCCTGGCGACCGGCTTGTTGTTTAATTATACACGACTATTGGCTGATGATAGTCCGACTTGATTAAAACAGCGGCCATGTATCTATGTCCGGTACTTGCGTCAGAACTGACTGTTTCAAGTCAACTTCACGTAACGAAATTATTGGTTATTAAAACCGTTTACACATTTTGTTTCAAGTGTCTAAACACCGTATCGGTATAAAAACACATACAGGGATGATCGCCTTTAAAAATGTTTTGCTTCGTGTTACGTAAGATCTGTGCGTGTTATAAGCTGACTGAACCGTGGGTGTCACCAAATCTGTAGAAGTGCATCACGTCTCGCTCCCCTCACTCACTCAAACAGGCCGAAATATAAATGGAATACTGTCATTATTCAGTTTAATTGTTGACTTTCAATCTGCCAATTTTGAAAATGAAAATAATCTGAAACTGACTGTGATATATTACGATTCACACAAGGTTGTAAGTGCATTTTCTAACATTAAATATTTCAATTACTTTCTCCAGATAACATTCAACTTATGATGTGTTACATTGTCGTCATTTATCAATATCCTGTCAAATATTATTTTATACAAAATAAAACGTAACGCTTTGACAACATACATTTGGGAAATCCTGAATAAATGAATCTAGAAATGAATAATAACCAGATATCGATTATGAAATGTCCTCATTGCACGCTGGAGCGAGAGAGATTGGATTTCTACCGATCGTAAAAACCTTCCGGCAAATATATTACATAAGATTAGATCAAATAAAATCATGTTGACATCTCAAGATGAAAATTAAAAAAAACCATGGCCCTAAAATGATTCACCATTTTCCTGTGACGTGTTGTATAATTTTGATGGGTTACAAACACCATCAAGCTCACTAGTATACAGATAACTTAACGTGGTGATTCTGTACTCAATCCCCCTCAACACCCACCCAACCCTCCCTCAAGCCTGACGCTCGAGTCAGCCACAATCCTGAGACAATGACTGTGCTGCCTGTGATGGTTAAACTTGCTATCCATCACTTTTGGGTCGGAGCTAGACTCGGATATTTCAGACAGCAATGAGGTTTGAGTTTTCTTGAACGGCGTTAAACATCATTCACTTAATGTTATCTTGTTCGATCTGGAACTCTGGGGGACAGTTCACCCCGTATCCGGATGTTTTATGATATGTTGTATCCAACTGTAAGTCTTTAGTCAGTTACATTTTATACAAGCAAAAGTTTTTAGATTCGTATCAGATCAGATGACAGTCAAATTTCGTCTTCGATTTCATGTCAAGGTCTGTGCCGTTCAGTGGAATTACCCACGAGTAACGTGTGCACGACTGATAATCCAGCTAGGACCCTGCGAGTCACTTGACCTGCGAGTACACGAACAGTGCACTTGTATAATACCGGGAAGTTCACCTTGCACTTAATGTCAGTTTGACAAAAGTTGTACTTGTATAAAATCAACACTATAGACCGGTTGATCTGACACACTGATGCCTGGATGACAGAGTAGTTCTGTGTCATGTATATCACATTAAACAGACCAATTTTCAGTCGCTTAATCGAAGTATGATCGTCAAGTGCCGTGGAATAAATAGTTTGTAAAGACAACATAACTTATTATGGATTTACATCACTAATACCTCAGCCTTTGTCAAATACGGCAGTCGGCGACATGCAATGACCAATGTAGCTTCTAAACTGCATGGGGGCGGTGGGGTAGGCTAGTGGTTAAAGTGTTTGCTCGTCACGCCGAAGGTCCGGTTCGATTCTCCACATGGGTACAATGTGTGAAGCCCATTTCTGGTGTCCACCGCCGTGATATTGCTGGAATATTGCTAAAAGCGGTGTAAAACCAAGCTCACTCACTCGCTCACATACTCACACTAAACTGAATACCTTTACTAAGATTTTGATAACTCTGTGTGTAAAGGGGTGCACGTACGGGTACGACGTGTACAGGTGTATGTATGTGGTGTACTGAGTACCGACCATGTACAGTTATATTTTTAGTTACATGTACACATGTAGGTGTACGATACAATTACAGGTGCAGGTTATCTAAATGGATAGCAAGTAGACTGGATCGTTGTGTGTCCTACATGTTATCAACCAGGTGAAAATATACACATCAGCATTAATTAAACATCAAAATTGCAGTATTGTGCTACACTTTTCAGAACTGATTTAGTAGACGACAGTAATACAAAATGCACGACGCCGGGACATCCTGTCGCAACATCGGTGCTAACATTGACCAAACGGTTATTTGTCGACTTATGAGGATTAGGATTGAGTGAGTGAGTGAGTGAGTGAGTGAGTAAGATCAGTTTTACGCCTCACCCTGCAATATTTCATGTATATGGCGGCGGTCTGTAAGTAATCGAGTCTGGACCAGACAATCCAGTGATCAACAGCATGAGCATCGATCTGCGCAATTGGGAACCGATGACATGTGTCAACCAAGTCAGCGAGCCTGACCACCCGATCCCGTTAGTCACCTCTAACGACAAGCATGGGTTACTGAAGATCAATATTCTAACCCGGACCTTCACGGGTATATGAGGATTAGGACTTCACGGTATTACCGGTATACCTCATTACGCTTTTCTAACGATACGTATTCCAATGTAGTTCCTGAGAACCGGTATATTGGGTAAAGAATATGTATGAATTTTTCTGAGTATCTTTATGGTGTAAATTAAAATCTACACAGGCTTTCATTCACAACAGATGAATTACTTCGTTATTCATACTGTAAAACTATAAATTTATATAAAATATGAAAATAGAATCTGCAAACCAAAGTTTGAGATTGCTGTTATCAGAACCATAACATATATTGTTAGGTACTTATAATGTAGAAGATTGGATCGACATGTACAATTAGTGTGACTCACTGTCAAACAAATTCCCAACATATCGCAATACGGGTATCTAGTGTGCGAAAATAGCCACTGGCCCGCTAGCCCTAGGCTAGTAAAAATCCAGTCGGACCAGTAATTCTCCACAGTCACTGGACAGACTGGCTAGTGAATTTTCATGGGTCATTTTGTAAATAATATCACTCATTCGGACTTGTTAAGTTATAATATACTTTTAAATCATGCAAGATTATGGCCTGATAAAAATGTTCGTCATATTTGCAGCTTAATGATGCTTAGTTTCTACATTCAAATTTTGGGCTAGTGAATTATTTTGTGGGCTAGTAACTTTCAGGCATAGCTAGCCCGCCTGGCTAGCAATATTTGGAAACTAATTCGCCCACTGCGGGTATCTGAATCGCAATATATTGCAATACAATGAATTTGCCAATACACAGCTCTAATGAGAATGCACATGACCACCAGTAAAGTAAAGGATCGCCAAAGACCTTGAAGATCGAGGAAGACTAATGACCGTGATGGCTGAGTCCCAATCCGTCTGGCAATGGAGAGTAGAAGTCTGGTACCACCAGAAGGAGGCGGCGGGCTGTTAATGTTGGTCTGGGGGAACGTCGTGCAATCAGACATACCTCCCTCATAGACATGCACAGGCAGGAACGTCGGTCTTCAAGACGACAACCCGGCCCGCAACTTCAGAACATGGCGTTGGCTTCATCGGTCTGATGAAAGTCAGAAAGCCTTCCACATGTTACCAAAGGCCGTTGTCCCGTGTGGAAACGTCGTAACGAGGCACACCAGCACATGATCCATGACAATGGTAGACCTCATCGTTCCCGAGCCGTCACTGCCAACCTGCAGAACAACGTCATCAAAACATTACCACGGCGTGCCAGGAACTCCGTTATGAACGTCGTCGAACATCTTTGACGCCAAGTTCGAGCTAGAGATCACCCTGTTTGAAATGTACAAGAATTGACGCAGATTCTCCATAAGAAACGGCCGAAGATTCCGATGATGAGAATTCGGTACTTGATTGCAATTTTGAGGAGGGGACGAGCAGGTATTATCCTTGTCATGAGTAGCTACACCAGGAACTTATGTGGTCGTGAATGGTGCTTCATAGAATCTCAACAATCATGATTTAATAACTGTGACAATCAGGTTGGTGGCCGGTCATGGTGACCATACTTTCCGCCATTGCTGATATACATTTTTTGTGTATTCCTCTCATGCATGCAAATCCGTTTTACTCACAATAAAATATGCTACAGTTACCTTTTAAAAACGCGAAATATGATGTTCAAAGCATAAACTATGCATGAACGCGTGGTGTTTTCGTACTTATCATATACAAATGTGGGTGGTGCTTGATTTATGCTCATGTATGTATATCGATCCGGCGGGGAATATCTCGTGCATGTTGACGGTCCCGACACCAACACGCCAGCTAACGGCGTCTCATGACCGGAAGCACCTCCCCATTCCCCTATCGATGTTTTCTATGAGGAGTTCCTACACCGTAATAGTCCCATAACTCACACATTGTCTTCACGCTTGTCCGGTTATATTATTGTAGTGTAGGTATGCAAATGGTGAAGGCTTGATATGATACTGTATTGCACATGATACTGTATTGCACATGTTACTGCATTGCACATGATACTGTATTGCACATGATACTGTATTGCACATGTTACTGTATTGCACATGTTACTGTATTGCACATGATACTGCATTGCACATGTTACTGTATTGTACATGATACTGTATTGCACATGATACTGCATTGCACATGATACTGTATTGCACATGATACTGCATTGCACATGATACTGTATTGCACATGATACTGTATTGCACATGATACTGCATTGCACATGATACTGTATTGCACATGATACTGTATTGCACATGATACTGCATTGCACATGTTACTGTACATGTTACTGCATTACATGATACTGCATTGCACATGATACTGCATTGCACATGATACTGTATTGCACATGATACTGCATTGCACATGATACTGTATTGCACATGATACTGTATTGCACATGATACTGCATTGCACATGATACTGCATTGCACA